CGGATTAAATTTTTTGGTTTTATGTCTGGGGTCAAACCCAAGGTGTCTAAATTTTTGAGGAGGCATCTCAATGGGGAGTCAGACAGCAGAGAAGAAGTAGAGGTACTCATTATGAGGGACCTGGTCCTGGAATGGGAGAGGAGGATATTACGTACTGTGGAGCGGCCTCGCACAGCACAAATATCCAAGAGAATGCAAAACACATGAGAATTGGTCCTCACTGAGTTCAGGTGGTTTGCAAGGCCGCCGATGGGCCGAGGGCTATGGGTCACCTGGGCCCAGGCTTTTTGACAATGGGACTCTGAGACCCACGACAAAATGGATCCAAGCCCAACAAGGAAGGGAATACCTCTACTGCCTGAGCCGCCCAGAGATAGCCAAACAGGGGGAGTATTTGAAAACCCCAGAGACACCGAAGGGAGAGACCACAAAGGGAGCCTGAGAAGGGTATGTGGACTCACCAAAGAATGTCTGGTGTTGGATGCAAGCAGGGCGATCGAGAGGATGAGTCCTGGCCAGTCATGTCCTCGGTGGTCGTGGGGTAAGTTGGAATGGGGGACCCACCAGGATTAGTGGGGAGCCCCCATCCAAGTCATGGCACCAAAATGTTGGAAATGTAGGCCCAAAGTGACCACATGGAGAGGAGTAGTAGGATTTATTGGAGAGAAAGGAAAGGCTACAGCTAAAGTACTGGCAGTGGAGCCCAGAAGATGGCAGCTCACTGCTCAGGTGAAGGCTGGGGTTTTTATGGATGTTCTAACTCTGGGTTAGGTGGGTTTTTTAATTTGCCATGGATTAGCAGGCTTTCTCAGGTGAACTGGTTTGGTTTGCACCTTTATTGGGGGAGAGGAAACAATCTTGAGAGCATTTTGCTCATCAGCCCTGTGGTAGATCTGTATCTCTCCTTTAGGATGCAGGAATGCAGGCCTCTAACTCCTCAGGATGCAGGAATGATATTGCTCTCCATGGGGGATGGGATACCCACTCAACTGACTTAGGTCTCCAGACCCAACACTTGGTATCCTGAAACAGAGGAGTCCTGCCAAGGGAGTTCCTGTAGAGGTGTCAGTTGCCCTCACAAAAGGGCAGCTCCTCTGCTAGAGCTTCTCCCATGTCTTCAGTTTCTCAAAACAATCAGCACAAAATGACCTTGTGCCAAAGAGGCAGACTGATTTGGGGGTGGCGTATTTTGGTCCCCTACTATACAAAAAAGTGCCCAAGCCCCTTGCTCATTGGAATCAGTATTGTGACAGTCATTACGGGCAGGAACAGACAGCAGCAGGGGTTCCCTGCAACAGAGGCTAGGACTGGCTAAGGGTAGTTGCACCTTGTCCACTGGTTTTGTGTGTCAGTGCATAAAACTGTTAATGCAAGTCTGCTCCATGAGGACAGTGAGCTTGTTTACATCACAGATAGGAGTGGAACCCATTTTCCTTCTGTCTTCATTCTTACTGCACTGTCTTGACAAAATCCACATTCATCCACATCAGTGATGCAGCTAGCAACTATAGTTTAAAATGCTTCTTTGTGATCCAGGTATGGTAGTGCATACCTGTCCTCCAGCTGTAATTTGGAGGCTGAGGCACGTGGATTGAAAGTTCAAGGCCAGCCTGGAGAACTTAGCAATACCCTGTCTCAAAGTTTAAAAAGGCTTGAGGTGTAGCTCTGAGCACTTGCCTAGCATGCAGGAGGCCTTGGGTTCAATAACCAGTACTGCTTTAAAAAAAAAAAAAAAAGAAAGAAAAGAAAAGGCTCCTCTTACAGTGGTAAGAAATTCAACAGAAGATAGGAGAGATATGTTATGAATACTGCTCAATATAAGTTACTCTGGGCACCGTGATAATCTGCTAGGTCACCTCAGAGTATTAGAATCTAGTAACAGCAGACATGGTAAAGGGTATTATGTTTATTACACATGTTTAAATAGTTAAGGTGCACTTAAAAAATGGAATTAGAATTAAAACATTTGCTGAACCTTTGGACTCTTCATAAACCTGATCTATTTCAACCCCTTAACTATACAAATGAAAATGAAGCCAGGAGACCTCAAGGGTTTGTCAGAGTCACACTGTAAGTGAAATTGGAGTCATGTTTCTGGGTATCTTATCCTGTGTTACATTTTTGACCCCTGGAATCCAGAGCTGAGGAATCCCTCATTTGGGAGACTCGGCATTCCAGCCTCTACACCCTCTGCTAGGGACCCATGAAACTAGACCTTGGTGCCCGCTCTTGAGTTCTCACAGAGACATGGTTGGATTTACCAGTTGCCACCTTGATGAACCACAAAGGGCCATCCCACTGCTTGAAGTAGCATTCTACCATAGAAACCAAGGAGGACATGCCGACAGGATTTGTTTTGCCTCATGGAAAAATACAATTGTTTCAGATGTTAGAACATCTTGTCCAGCCAGCAGATGCCAGCCCCTCAGGTCCCCCTGGTCAGGCCTGGGGAGGCTAGAGTCAGCTCCTATTCTGTGATTACCTCTGGTCCACCCTCCTGCCCCTTCAATACTGTCTGCTACAAAGCTAATCAAGAGGCTTGAGGCTAACAGTCAGGACACAGCCCCTTAAACATATTTTTCTGGAGAGCTGTGCTGAGCTACTTCTTGAAAGAATCAGGCTATGGAATCATCCAGGTGGGGGTGCAACAATGAGCAGAGCAGTTAGAATGAGCCAGGCCCTTGGGTCACCTGACCTCTCTGGGCTGCCACAGAAACCCTTACAAGGGGCTAGTTTGAAGAAGCCACTGAAGGAGGGACAGTGTCCTCAGTGAGGGCCATAGTCCTGCTTCAGGAGCAGGAAGCCAGAAGCAAACTGAGAGCCAACTTGCCCTTCGGGAAGGACAGGAGAGGCTGTGTGACCTTTGCCATGTTTCTGATCTTCACACCTGAGGTTCCCAGAACTAGCCCTGCCGTGTCCACTTGCCCCATACGACCCCCATTGAGTCCTGTCCTCACTTGCCTCAGGAGGAGAAGGCCTCAGGGTTGGGAGCAGAGCTCAGGTGATGTCAGGAAGGTTTGATAAATGATGTGGTGAAGTCGGTGGCCACACTGCATTATGATCCAGAAGACAGTGTATAGAGACTTTGTACCCTGGAAGAACCACCATTTATTATAGGAAATCAGGCCCAGCTGTTAGCTCTGCTCCTTGTGTGTGTATACATGGCTCCTGTGGTTAAATATGGCTGGATTGATGGGAGGCTGGAGTAAATGTGACCAGAGGCGGTCACAGATTAGCAGCTGACCCCCTACCTCCCTGGCCTTCTAAGAAGGTAGACACTGGAAAGACTGATCGTCAGCCAACCATCCTGAGAGGGGTCTGAAAAAGACTGTTGCACTCAGACATGTGTGTGGAAGCCAAGCTTCCTGAATATGTGGCTCTCTTGGTCTTCACTGCTGAGTCCCCAGCGCTGCGGAGGTGTTCAGGAGACAGAGCCAGGTCTCACCCTTTCTAAAAGGAGGCCCCTCATCAAGTCTGTTGTTACCGGACTGCTGGCCACCACGTGCTCTTGGTGTTTTGAGCTGTTGAGTTTAGTTGCATAGCATGTATTTCCACTGATGTGTGGTGTCCATTGTGTGGTAACCCCACACACTGCTGTGTTCCACCACTGACAACCATGTAGGCTGTGTCTGGTTTAGGGCTGTGTGAAAGGTGCTACTATGCAAAGGTAGGTGCAACTGTGACCTACCAATATCACCTGTTTTGTCCCCAGCACTCTCCGCTGTCACTCCCACCAATGGGGAATGACTGTCCAGTTGTTCCACATCTGTTTTTCAACTACCTGATTGGTATGAGATCTAGTACTTTTCATAAATTCACTGGCATTGACTTTGCCTTTTATGAAGGTTCTATTCCTGTGTTTCTTCATTTAAGTCTGAGAGTTCTGTCTGGTTTGTATGGATACTGCTCTATTCCAGAAGCTGGGAATTTATGGGTTCAAGGTTATATTGAAAAATAAATTTGTCCCAAGCAGGCACTGTAGGGGATGGGGTGGGTGGAGCTTCTACCTGAGGAGCATTGATCCTATGCTACTCAGCCCTGACCTGTCCTCTTCTCTTGTCCCACTGAAGAGCCATTGTCCTTGTCCCTGGCACCTATTGTCCTTTCCTAGAGGACTAGCAGAAGCTCGGATGGGGGCAAAGGAATGGCACAACCACTGGTATGCTGGGTTCTTAAGAATCTTGGCCATTCCCTTTACCTTTGTTTCATTTGTTATATAGTGTCATCCTCCCTATAGTGGCCCCACTCCATGGAAGCCCCTGAACCCCAGCTGACATCCACTCAGCACCCCATGCCCTCTGCAATCTGCCCTTCCCCATTTTGTTGTTGACTTAGTTAACTCTAAATCCTGACTTGTTAGATTCTGAGCTCTGTCAAGGCAGGAATGGTGGGGTATGCTCCTGACGTCCTCAGTAATTATTTCTGTTGAATAAAATTGACTTAAGGTTAAGATGTCAGTCTGAATAACAATATTCATCTCCATTTGTGCTGCACTCTGTTCTGATTCTCTCTGCTATGAAAATCGAAACCAGAATCTACAATTTGGGTGGGGCATGATGGGGCAGGTCTAGGTGGCCCTGCCCTTATAATTCTAGGTGACACAGTCTGACTCCTGCTAGGAGCCCTTCCCATGATGGCTCCTGCATGTGGTCAGGTAGCTGGTGCTGGCTGTCCATGGGAGCTCACCTGCAGCTGTCAGCCACATTGCAGGCCTTGGTTCTTCTCTCTTTGGGCCTCACCCAGGGCTGCTCAGCCCTCCTCACAGCATGGTCTCTGGTCCAAGAATGAGCACTTGAAGGAAGCACAAGTTGCCTATCTCTTAGGCCCTGGCCCAGACACTGTCAGGTATCATTTCTGCTGTGCTCCTTTGATCACAGCTATTGCAGAGCTCATCCAGATTTAAAGGTAAAGGGGAACAAAGGGGGTGGGAAAATGTCAGAGAACCTGTGTCCCCTGCATTTCACTCCTAAAGCCTCTTCCTCCCTGTGACTTTCCCACAGCCCTGACTGCCGCTGCAGGAAGAGGAAAGTTGGAGGTATGTGAGTTGCTGCTGGAGCGGGGCGCTGCCGTGTCACGGACCAACAGGAGAGGGGTCCTCCCTCTGTTTTGCGCAGCACGCCAGGGGCATTGGCAGGTACCCCATCGGCCCCCCGCAGGCTTCAGTAACAATGAGTGGGGGGGGGGAGTTCACTATGGAGACCACTTGTGGCCCGATCCCTGTTCCCCTTGTTTCTGCCTGTGCTGTCAGGGCAAAAGCAAAGATTTGACAGGACAAACGTGTAGTCAGCCATGCAGGCTGGGGATAAAATGATGGCCAGGCCAGACACACTTAGCTGCTTCTCTTGACAGGGATGGATGGTGGGAATAGGAGGTCTGCTACAACATATCTGCTATTGTTTTGTAACCCACTGGCCAACATACTTGAAAAAGAGCAGGCCTGTGGTGCTCTTAAAGCACGGGAAACATTTTCATAGCTGTGTTCAATTCAGTGGAGTCGGGATCCCTGGCACAGTGGTTCATCATTCCTTCATTTTGTAAACAGCAACCACATACCTATCCCACACCTAACACCAGTTTACATGTGTACTATACAGTCAAATAAATGATATTATACCTCTTATAGGAAGAACAATGACCCTGTGGCAACCTCTCTCTCCTGGTCTCTGTGTTTTCTAAGTCCAAGGAAGGTGGAAGGCATTTTTTGATGCATAAAGGCAAAGCAATGGCAATGTTCAACCTTCTGCCTCAGTGGTGATGTAATGAGTATGTGACAGGGAAACCTCTAGACCTGACCCCAGAATAGAGCAGTTTCCACTGGCATGGGGTGGGTTTGAGACTCCCTCCTGGCTTGTGTATTTCCTCCCCAGCCTCACCACCATACACTGGATGAAGGCATACTGCTGAAGCTAAGAGTCTTGGTTATAAGTTGCTTTCTTGGCTGGGGATGTAGCTTAGTGGTATAGTGCTTGCCAGACATGTGCAAGGCCCTGGGTTTCATCCGCCATGCCACTAAATAAATGAATACATAAATAAAGTAGAGCAAGCTCTCTCTCCAACCCTGAGTCTTAGGAAAGCACATTACCTGAGGGTGTGGTCCTCCAGCTTTCTTCTCCAGCTACTCCTGCCTGCATACCCTTCTCTTGTAGTATCAGTCATCCTTCAGTATTGGTAGGGGATTGGTTCCAGGACTCCCAGGGATACCAAGCTCAGAAGACGTTCAAGTCCCTTATGTAAAATGGCAGATTTGCATATAACCCACATCCATCCTCTGTGCGCTTTTGATCATCTCTAGATTACCTATAAAGCTTGGTACAATATAAATACCATGTAAGTAGTCATTATAATTGTTAGGGAATAATGACAAGAAAAATAGTATATACATGTTTAGTACAGATGAAACTTTTTTAAAAAGTATTTTTCAATGTGTTGTTGGCTGAATCCACTAATACCCACAGATACAAAAGGCTGGCTATATTTAGCTTCAACACCAGCTAGGGACACAAACAACTACTGCTTGCCCCTTCCTTGGCTGAACTATCCTTAGTTATCCTATCTCCCACACTGTGGCGTCCTGTCTTTACTTGATTGTAACTGACAGCCCCCTCCACAATTAGTGTTCTTCCTGGGGGTGTGGGTGTGTGTGTGTGTGTGTGTGTGTGTTGGTAATGAACTGAGCATATATTCAGGAAAAGATTCTGTTCAGTACAAAGATTTACAGGTCCCATGTATCACAGCCCAGAAAGTTTTTAAAGAAGACAGTTATTACCTACTTTACAAGATTGAGAAAGCTGCCTGGGTATAGAGAATATGGCTTAAAATGCAGAAGGGAGACTAATTCTGAGTGTTTGTTTCAGATTGTTAGATTGCTGTTGGAACGAGGCTGTGATGTGAACCTGAGTGACAAGCAGGGGCGGACACCCCTCATGGTGGCTGCCTGTGAAGGGCACTTGAGCACTGTGGAATTCCTCCTTTCAAAAGGTAGCAGCAGTCTCTGTGCATAGATTTCTTTTGCAAGGACAAGCTTTGGCAAACCCACATAGTATTTTCTACTTCCAATTTTAACTTTGCTACGGAAATGTATTTACTTGTGTTAGGGAATTCCGCCCCTCCCCCCCAACACACACATGCCCATTGCTCAGCTTCAGTGATGACCATCTGGCCATTGGCTCCAGACTTCATTTGCTTGACTATGTGCTGTGGGATGCTCGGCTTCCACGTGTTATCTTATAAGGCTTATGTTCTATGAGTGGACTTTCCTTTCAGGTGCCAGCCTCTCTTCTCTGGACAAAGAGGGCCTGTCAGCATTGAGCTGGGCTTGTCTGAAGGGTCACAGGGCAGTGGTTCAGTATCTGGTTGAAGAAGGAGCAGAGATAGACCAGACAGACAAGAATGGCCGCACTCCCCTTGACCTAGCCGCCTTCTATGGTGATGCAGAAACTGTGAGTACCTACAGGTGGTCTCTCCCCTCCACCTGTGTGGGGCCTGTGGGCAGCAGGCCCAGCACTGAACTGTTCGGTCTTTAGAGGCTGTGCTGACTTGGTCAGTGTGTGTGTGTGTCTAATTCTGTGACATGCAATCCACTCAAGTACTGTAGTCAAGATTTCAGTATACTCTTAGAAGCTGAAAAATATCTGCTTAGAAATCACATGTACTGCAGACACATACATGAATGTGTTTGTACACATGTAGTTTTATTTTCTCATAGTATTCCATGTAAATAGAATTCATAAATCATTCAAAAATCACTTTTACATATGAGAAATTACTAATTAAATGAGTTAGTTTTTTATTAACTGTCTTTTTTTTTTTTTTTTTTTTCAGCACTGGGGTTTGAACTCAGGGCTCTTGATTTGCTAGGCAGATGCCCTACCACTTAAACCACACCTCTACCCCTTTTTCTCTGGTTATTTTGTAGATAGCGTCTCGATTCTTGTCCAGGCCAGCCTGATGGCAGTCCTCCTATTTTACACTTCCCATTGTTGCTGGGGTGACAGACACATACCACTACACCCAGCTTTTTTCTGTTGAAATGGGGTCTCAGAAACCTCCTTGTCTGGGTTGGCCTAGACTGTGATTCTCCAGATCTCAGATTCCCAAGTAGATAGGATACAGGTGTGAGCCACTGGCAGCCAGCATCATAAATGTTTTTTTGTCCATTCGTCTATCAGTAAACACACATCAGTGGACAAGAATCATTTAAAGACTCTGGTTTAAGTTCTCTGGGGGTATATACCCAGAAGTGGAATTGCCAGATCATTTGGAATTCATTTTTAACTTTTCAAGGCACCGCTGTACCACAACTGCTGCTCCATTTCACATTCACATCAACAGTACACAAGGGTTCTGATTTCTTCACATCCCCACAAACACTTGTACTGTTTTGTTTTTAAACAGTAGGCATCCTGATGGGTGTGAGTTTCATTTCCCTGATGACTAGTGAAATCAAATGCTTTCTCATATGCTTCTTGGATATCATCTTTGGAGGAATAATTTGTTCAAGTCTGTCACTCACTTTTTAATTTGGTTTTATTACTGTTTTTTGAGTTATATATCTTTGTATGTTCTAGATATTAACTCCTCTAGTATCATTTGAATAGCTGTAGGGCTGCTGGGAAGCATATCCTATCAGATCCAAATGAAAGTCTAAACTGGTTACAGGTTTATTTGCCACTAAGTAGAGAAATTAGAGTGAATAAAGTAATTTAGTCCAAACAATACTTTTTTTTTTTTATCACATCACATCTTTTACCCTGGCCTCACACTTGTCATCCTCACAGTCCAGGATTTGCCAAGCCTCTGGCTAGAGGATTAAAGTGAATTACACCAGGTCCATCTGGTCCAAACTGCTTATCTCTGCAGCTTGTGATCTAGGATTGTGTGTGGTTCTGTGTGTTTCTAAGGTGCCATTGCTAGACCCTGTTAGTATGCTGGAGTTCACTGCAGGAGCCTCCCTGCATGTAAGGTGACAGTCTCCTGTCTGAGGCCTAAGAAGAAGGGTGCCTATCCTCTCTTCATGCACATGTGTCTATACCTGTCTTTGGTGCCTGAGGTCCCTGTGCACAACATGCTTTTCACTGACAGCAAAGCCACTTCAACAGAGACGGTTTTAGCTATGGGCTGTAGCTCCTTTTCTCGTGTGTTAGCTTCGTTTCCATTCTAGGATCCCGTGTGGCCAGACATCTAGAATGGGAGCCAAAAGGCAGGCTCAGGCAGTGGCAAGGCTCCTGCCAGGCGCTGCTCCTCAGGCCTTTTCTCTTCTCACTGCTGCAGGTGCTGTACCTGGTGGAAAAGGGAGCCGTGATAGAACATGTGGACCACAGTGGAATGCGCCCCTTGGACAGAGCCATTGGTTGTCGAAATACCTCTGTAGTGGTGACACTACTCAGAAAAGGAGCCAAATTAGGTCAGTGAACCCCAGCTTGGCTCAGCAGGGTGAGGGGGCTAACTTCAGACTTTAGAATACATGAAGGGGCAGAAAGATTCCCATTCCCAGGCAAGAATCAGATGTCTGAACAGCGTCCTCCCTCACCTGTCTTTGTCTCCCTGTCTCATATCATCACAGTCATCCAAAATGTTGAGATCGCCTGTGCTGTCAATGCCAGAGTGGGTGGAGAGCAGAGGCTAAGGTGGAGTACCAGTCTGGAATCACACATGTCCTGGTGCTAACACCAGGCTGTAGTTGTAGGTGAGCTGAGCACTGTAGCCTGGAGGGCTCTCCAGGTACTTCTGAGGATCAACCAGGCCATGGTCCTTTGCTCTAGAGCTGTTGTGGTTAGTGGCTGGAGAAGCAGTGAGCCTGGCACAGCTTCTGTGAAGGAAGGGGTGAGAGGCTCCTTGGGGAAAGGATGGGGATTGCTTGAGGATAGTGTGGAGGGACCTGAGCAGGAAAGGCCTGTCTGTGTGGCTGGCTGGAGCATCATACACCATTCAGAGTTGTGGAGGAAGGAGAAACTGGAGTGTCCCTGATTGATCAAGAACCATTGTGGGTAGAGACTGCAGCAAAAATGACATTAGCCAACATTAAGCATTAAACAGCATCAGGAATTGACCTAAATAGTTTCTCATTTTAACTTGACCTTCCCCATAGCTCTGTGAGTAGGTAATGTTGATACAGTCATGTTACATGAGAAAACCAAGGCACAGGGAATTAGCTGAGCTCCCTTAGGTCATAGTCAGTAGCAGAATCATGTGTGAGCTTGGTAGGATGCCTCCCAAGCCTGTGTTTGTCAGGACTCCTCCCCACAGCACCCTTAAGTGCTCAGAGTGGGGCTAGAGAGAAGGTTGTGGCTGCAAGGTAGAATGGGATAGGAAGGCTGAGCTAGGATGCCTCAGAGTGGACTGTAAAAGCAGACTTTGTCAATCTGCCCTGCCACTGCAGGGAGCTAGAGAAATTCCTTTGAGGCCTGGTTTCATTGTTGTATCCCTCAAAGGAGAGGGATGGAGTGGGTTCCTTAGTTTCTCCTTACTTTTTTCAATAGAACAGTAAGGATAGACTTTGCAGGCACCATTCTCCACCTGTGGCTGGTTCAGTGTAAAACAGACTAGAAGCTAACAGAGCTCACCACTAGCATCTCACTCCCTTTCCTTCTTCATAGTGCTCTCTGGAAACCCAAGACATAAACAGTAGGAGCCCAGTTGCCAGGACAGTGGTTGGTTTAAGTGTTGTGCAGCTGTGGGGGCTACAGAACTGAACTGCCTTCCTTTGTCCTTGGAAGCACCTCTGAAAGCATGTTTGTTTTACAGGAAATGCTGCTTGGGCAATGGCCACTTCCAAACCTGATATTTTGATTATACTTTTACAGAAGTTAATGGAGGAAGGGAATGTCATGTACAAAGTAAGTAGTATCACCCCTTTCTATGCTGTGGTAACTGACTTCAAGCAAACTTGTAGTTTGGTGTTGGATGGCTGTAGCTGTACTTCAGTGTAACATAACTTAGTGGTAATGGAAGTTTGAAAAGTTGTTAACCTGGCCTCACTTCCAGAGTTCCTTTAATCCCTTAGCAGGAGAGCTGGAAAGACCTTCTCTGTGTCTGAGAGCCATTATTTTTTGAGCTTCTGCTTGAGGCTGTGACTGTGACTTCCTGCCTGAAGCCATGGCATGAAGGAGTTACCTCTAGGTTGGCTGGTTCATCAGACAGGAGGTACCTTAGCCTTTCCCATTGCACAGTGGTGGCATGATCATAAAAGCATGTGAAAAAGGAACATCCCAGAGACATTTCTAGAAGAAAAGAACAATTCAGTCTCCTAAGCCTTTACTCTCTAATTGTTCATTCTATCAACTTTTAGAATTTGGAACTGTTTCTAGAGACATTTTTATGTCATATATAGTCAAGTAATATATAATAATTATTCATGAGATAATTTCCTGTTTTCACTCAGAAAATATGATTTACAGATTCATAAATTTGAATTTAAGTTTTCCAAAATAAGACATCAGTGCAGATCAGAAATCAGCACACTTCTGTGTAAAAGGCCAGCAAGTGTATGTTTCAGGCTTTGCAGACTCTGGTATGTCCTTTTTGGTGGTACCAAAGCATCCACAGTAATACATAGGTAAAGGAGCACACTTGTGTCCCAGTAAAACTTCATTTGTAAACATAGGCAGTGGCCAGATTCGGTTTGAAATTGTGGTTTGCCAATGCCAGGTTTAGATAGGTGTATAGATCATTTACAAATATCACTATTCTTTACATTCTTGTGGGGAAAAAAACCCACAAGACTGGGACAATTTTAATCACTTTTCTACTAGGCAGCTATATTTGCTACCTTGTAAGTTTCCCTGCTCCCTCCCCTACTTTTTAAAATAGCAACAAATAAGTAGGCATATAGCATGACCCAGCAGGGTTCCTGGCTTGGAATCAGTTTGAAATTGAGTTCAGAGTATGTACTGTCTGGCTTCGAAGTAGTTTTAATATGGATGTTGGTAGGCAATTATGTCAGAAATACCAGGCTATTTTCAACAAGCTGCACACCTGCTGTGCACTGGGACTGACTGAGCAAATACGTTTCTTTAGCCTTGAAAATGATGTGGTGCTGTCCTGGTTTTTATAGCCCATGCTTTAGTTCTTAAAAGAGGAATTATTATTCTGCAGGAAGCTCGTTTATCCACAAGACTCGACTTGCCTTAGAAACTGCATCATTTTTTCATCTGATTTGTTATATTTGGCATTAAAATATCATCAGATGAGATCATTCTTGAAGTAATTCTAACATACAGAACTGAAAAGATAATCTGACGCATTAAGATTGATAGTTATCAATTTGGCAATTTACAAACACTTTCATATAAAGCTGTGCTCTTCCCCACTGTGCAAGCATGCTGCAGACACACATGAGGACAGCGAAGCCCAAGCGTGTTTAGATGAGTTACTGTCTGTTCCTACCCTGGCACTTACTCATTTGGCTCCTTCTGATTTGCTACAGTGGTTTTACAGGAGGTCTTCGGGGTATGGGAACTTGTGCATTTTAGCTCCTCTGGAAAGGGATAAATTTCTGTGGTTTTTGAACCCTAGAAAGGGAAGATGAAGGAGGCAGCCCAGCGGTACCAATATGCCTTAAGGAAGTTTCCTCGAGAAGGAGTTGGGGAGGACATGAGGCCATTCAATGAACTAAGAGTTTCTCTGTATCTCAATTTGTCTCGATGCCGAAGAAAAACAAATGTAAGTTGAGCCCCATTATCCCAACCTAGTCCTTTCAGTGGGACTGTCACAGTGCTGAAAGCCAGATTCTGGGAATACCTGTTTGATGGTGTGCAGACTGTGTGAGCCTGGCACCCCAGGGACCTCCTGCAGAAGCTGACAGGATGCACCTGGGTGTAGCTTCCTCTGCTGAGTGGTGAGAAGCAAATGCAAACTGCTCCTCTCCCTCCCCAGCCGTGATACTGCCAGTAACAAGAATTTACCAGCTGCTCCTCCAACACAAATGTCTGTTACAACTGCTGCCTTGTGTTTCTTAGGTTTGTTCAGAAGGCCTAACTAGCTAATTTGTAACTAGTAGTGGTTGACTCCATTAATTTCTCACTAGTAGATGTTTGGGTACTTATTTCTACTAGATTTTTTTAAACTTCATCCTCCCTGATCCCAATCTGACCCACCTGCTTCCCAAGTGCACACCTTCCTGCTGGAGCATATGGACACTGGCTGGTCAGCGCTGTTGCCAAGCCCTCTTCCCACCATGGGCTTTTGTCCTCACCTTGTGTGTGCTGCTTCCACCGCTGTTCTTTCTCCTGAGTCATCAGCTGCTGCTTCTCTTCTGCATTCTTATGACTGCACTGTTACAGCTGTGATGATTATCTAAATTTGAAGCAAGAAAAGCCAGGGACAGTAACTTATACCTATAATCTCAGCTACTTGGGAGATGGAGATCAAGATCAGGAATATCAGTTTGAGGCTAGCCCAGGCAAAGTTAGTGAGACCCCCATCTCAACAAGTAAGCTTGGTGTGGCATGGATGCCTATAATCCCAATTACACAGGCAGTCTAGGTGAGGAGGATCCGGGTCTAAGCCCAGCCCCAGGCAAAAACTTGAGACCCTAACTGAAAAAAAACTAAAAGCAAAAAAGGGTTGAAGGTGTGGTTCAACTGGTAGAGCGCCTGCCTAGCAAGCAGGAGGCCGAGTTCAAACACCAGTACTGCAAAAAAAAAAAAAAAAAACAAAACACAGGAGAACATACCTTCCCCTCTCCCCTTTCTAGTGTGTCCCATACTGTGATGCCTTTAGCACAGACCCAGTAAAGAGTTGCCTGTGTTCATCTCAGTGCTGCTTCTGATACATGTGTTTAACCATTGACACCAGGACTTTGGCATGGCAGAAGAATTTGCTTCGAAGGCTCTGGAATTGAAGCCCAAGTCCTACGAAGCCTTTTATGCCAGGGCAAGAGCGAAGAGAAATAGCAGGTACCGTTTGGAGTCCCCCACCTGAGTAGAGGAGGCTTTTTTCCTGAGGGATCAAACCTGCTAGCTGAGTTTGAGGAAGTTTTGTTTCCTCAGCGTTACTCAGATACCCCCCGTCTCTTCTAATACTACATTAGTAGCTTCTAAGAGGCACAGTGGTAGTATTACCTAACCTTTTATTGTCGTCTCCTGACGTTGCAATAACTGTTCCTTCCCACCCTAGCCCAGCTGAAACTTGCTGCTACACAGAGAACATAGTTGAGTTCATGTGACTGGCAACTAAAGGAGGAAGAGCAGGGGAGGAGGTTGTGTCTGACTTCTGAGTAAGAGGAGGCACAGTGAGGCTGGTGAAGATAACACGAGCAGGATTGTGATGCCCACTGACTTTTACCTAATCTCATACCAGCCCAGGGAGCTTTAGAGATAGAGGAAGGCCCTGGAGTCACACAGATCTGGTTAGAATTCAGCACTGCCACTTAACTGAGGAACTGCGGGCTACACAGGACCTAGTAACCTCCATAAGTGGTCAGACCTCACTCAGTTACCTTCTTTCCTCTGAGCCCAGCTATGAACAGTTGCATTCAGAGTTGTTTATTCATTGGTTATAATTACATCTTATGTTTTCATATGCAGGCAGTTTGTGGCAGCTCTGGCTGACTTGCAGGAGGCTGTGAAACTCTGTCCCACCAATCAGGAAATTAAGAGGCTTCTGGCCCGTGTAGAAGAGGAGTGCAAACAACTCCAAAAGAGCCAGCAGCAAAAACAGCAGTGCTTGCTGCCAGCTCCACCCAATGACTCTGACAACGAAGAGGACGCCCCGACCCCTGGGCTGAATGATCACTTCCACCTTGAGGAGGCTGAAGAGGAAGAAACTTTTCCACAGGAAGAATCCATTTCCCCAGCTCCCAGGTCCCAGCCACCCTCATCTGTCCCTTCCCCATATATCCGAAACCTACAAGAAGGGTTACTGTCCAAAGGCAGGCCAGGATCGCCACAGAGCAGAGTGGGTATGAACAAGGCCCTGAGGGAGACTGTTGCTCAACCGGGACTGGTTATGCAGCCCACCAAACAGGCACAGATAGTGAAGACCAACCAACATCTGGGCTCAGGGGTGTCTGGCATGAGAAACAGTAACACAAAAATGCAAGTCTCTTCTCAGAATCCTCCCCCGAGTCCCATGCCAGGTAGAATCCCTGCAGCTGCTGCTGGGGGCAAAAACCAGCATTTAGAGGGAACAGGTCCCTTCATTATGGGAGCTAGTTGCAGCCACTTTGGGGATCGGCTGGGCTCCAGCCAGAATGTCCAGTTGCAGCGCAGCGAGAGTGGTAGCGCATATCCTTTACCAAGCAAGGTCAAAGCTGCTGAGAGGCTCCTGTCTCATGCCTCTGTGGCTGCGGACGTAGCCCCTCCAAGCCAGGGTGGATCAACAAGCTGTAGTGACATGCGACATCCAGCTTCCCTCACCAGCTCAGGCTCTTCTGGTTCTCCATCTAGCAGCATAAAGATGTCAAGTTCAACCAGTAGTTTGACTTCAAGCAGTAGTTTTTCAGATGGCTTCAAGGTCCAAGTACAAGACACTCGAATTAAAGACAAAGTTGCAAACCAGGTGCAGAGTGGTACTGCTGAACACAGGCCGCGCAATACCCCGTTCATGGGCATCATGGACAAGACTGCAAGGTTCCAGCAGCAGAGCAATCCTCCCAACCGCACCTGGCACTGTCAGGTGACAGAGGGACTACTCACAAACACAGCCAACTCGGAGAAGCCCTCTCTCAAACCAGGAGGATATCCCAGTCAAGCCAAAGCCTGTTCTGTTTCCACACTGACTGGAAGTGTACACAATGGGGCTCAGGTGAAGGAGCCAGAAGAAAACAAGTGCCAAATTCCAGTCCACTGTCAAGACAACAGGATAACTAAGAGTGTCTCTCATCTGTACCAGGAAGGCATCACCAAACAGCCACCTCATGTCAGTAGTGAAGCCCACAGGAGCCACCTCACTTCGGCAAAACCAAAGCGATCATTCATAGAGTCAAATGTGTGAGCCTTTAAAAGGAGATCCATTTCAGAATTTAGAAAAGTCTGTTGGCTTCTAGTGGTAAATAATTAAATGGTTATTTTTCCATCGTAAAAGTTACTTTTTAGCCATATTTTTTCCTTTGGGTGGATCTGATGCCATTCATATATTAAAAACATAGGATAAAAGTTCTTTTATAAGTAGCTAGAAGTCACCGTAAAAAGTATGCTAAACAGAATTGAAAACTACAGTTAGCTTTATGTATCAAGTTAAAAATTTAAGACAGCCAAGAAAACATTAACTCCGCTTTTCTCTTGTGAAATTCCTTGGTTTTCTTCCAGACTTTGCTATGTTGTAAAATCACAGTATTTATTTAGAGGGGAAAAAAAATGACCATTATTAAAGAATAATAGGTTTTGACTTGACATAATGTCCAAGTATATTCTGGAAAAGATGGAAATTTTTAGTTCCATTCAGTCAAATCCCAATTTATATGTATATTTAGCCCAAAATAAGTGTGATTATAAGCATAGTCTAGTTGATTTTCCTTTTTAAAATTTTGTTAAGCAAAATATGAAGTATCATTCCCTTATTTTAAGAGGATTAAACAAACACTTCCATGTTATGGTTCTTATTCAGAATTTTTTTATGGAACCTTTCTGTAAACTATATTCATGGTATGTAGAAACAGGATAAGCTATTTGGAATCATGATTGTTGTTCAGGTCAGATTTGTGCTAAAATACTAAGACTAGCATTCTAGTGGCGTTGTAAACTAGCTCCCAAGTGGTTCCAAAACTACTTTTAACAATGATAATGTTCCCAAAACAAGCCTTCCAAAGTCTTTTAAGGACAGTATTTAAATTGAATACTTAAGGGATGGTTGGTTGTTGCTTTTGTTTTGTTATGCAATCATTACTTTCTAGACACATGATGTATATATCAGCTAGCCTAGTTTTATTCAGAATTGTAAATATAACTATTATGAAGTAGTTAAAAACAAAGACAAACAACAAAACCCCATATATTTGCATGTTCTTTGTAAGCTTCATCCATGCTGGTTATTGCACTGAATGATATGTTATGGCATGTTAACAGTATACCAGTAACGGCACTTTATCTCATTTATATGAACACCTTTGAGGTGCTACTTAAGTCCAAACTGATTATTCATTTGTAAAGATAAGGTACAGGAATGAACCTTGGTTTAAAGGTATTTTTATATGAAAATGGTGTGTTATTGGAGGATGTTAAAATGCTGGTTTGAGAGACATGAGAGTGTATTTGTTTTATATGTCGAGATGTGAAATTTATTTTCTAGAATTGGGGAAAAGGAAGTTCTATATTTGCAGAATGTTTTTTAGATGAATAGTTACGAAGTTCCTGTGAACATCATTAAGGTTTTATACAAATAGGAACCTTATGGTGTCATTCTTCAATGTTTGTTCCTGTGTGTCTTTGTACAAACAGCTTTATCATTTTTATAGGCTTTCTGTGAGTTCTGCTATAACTACTATGGCTTATTTATTGTTGTTTTCTTTTAATATTTGTGAAAGTCTTACTCTGTTGTTATGTAGTTTTATTTCTGCACAACTACTGTACTTTTCCCTAAGGAATAAAGACTATTACTAGAATTGGGTCTGCATTCACTGATTCAATGAATAAGCAGAGAACATCCCCATGACAGCTATCTGCCTTGTTTTAAATCTTTGTTACCCTAGAGACAAGAATGAAAAGCACTTTTAATTTCATTTTATAATTTCAAAATAAGGATGGCAGCTTCTAGAAATAGAAAGAAAGCAGGAGGAAAAGCAATCTATTAATTATGTCTGTTTTCACTGGCAACAGTATCTTTAATACTGTAATTCTCAACTGACAGTTTATTCTTCACATTTGTGTTATCTTTCAGTTAAAAAGTGTGTATTTCTCTTTATGCCCACATACTTTCAGTGTGACTGAGAGTGAGTATTAAACTGTTGTATTATGATAAAATTCTATCTTGGAATGTTAAGCCTAGGTTAACTTTAGATTATCTGACTACTGCTATCACTAGAAGTCTAAAAAAGTACTTTCAGTCCTTATTTAAAGCCATATATTTAAATTATAAAGGTTAAAAACAAAAAAGAAAATGGGGAAGAAGATAAAATGTATCTTTTTTTCTTGTCCTGCCTTTCCTATAAAGCACCCATTAACACATGAACTTGGGAAGTGAAGTCCTCCTGGGAAGAGAAGCTGTGTCAGGCAACACTGAGTACTGCTCCCCATGATCCTGAGTCAGAGCTGGGCATGCAATATCAAGCAGAGAGGCTGTGTCTATGGATGGCCATAGACTTAAGTCTTTACCTGTTGGGAGTGGGGGGTGTTTGGCTTTGGGTTGTATGTGTATTTATATAAAAACAGGTATTTCCATTTGGGAAGTTATTTTAGTTTTTAGCCACTTTGTTTTATAAGAATTTCTTTTCCAAAGATTTCTAAGCGTTATCGAATGGCTACTGACCAGAATGTAAACACCTGTTATATCTGGGATACACCTATACCTAATGATAATAAATTTGGGCACTGCAATTCAAAGTCATAGTGAAGCTTTATTTCTATAGTTTTTATCACAAGTACAAAAAGGCTTTTGCCCTTGTAAAAACAGAAATAAGGTTAGATGTGTAATTCAGTTCCTATGTTTTAAAGAATGGAAATCGTTTTCATAAGTGACTAAATTGGAAACTTACCTTTTTCCTTCTGTTTTGCTTTTGATAATGCCTGGTTGGTATTTACCTTTAAATTAACCAATGAGATCAGTGAATAAACAATTTCACTTTATTATATATTGTATTGTGCTACTGGGGTTTGAACTCAGGGCCTCATGCTTGCTAGACAAATGCTCTACCTCTTGAGCCACACCCTAGTCATTTTGCTCTAGTTTGTTTTTCAGATAAGAGTCCCCAGCCAGCCTTGGACCACCTGTTAAGTAGCTGGGGTTACAAGATTGTGACACCACACCCAGCCCAACAATTTTACTTTTGCTGTGTCTCTAGCCATCGGTTTATGGCCATTTTCAGAGTTCTGTTTGGTGTAAGTACCACTGAAGGAAGAACAAGATTTGTCATGGGACTTGTACGTTTCTTTTTGCTGATCCAGTTTTCCATTGCTTCTTTTTCATATGAATATCCATCTAAAAATAAAGTACACAAATTTGAGACATAAGAAAGGGAAGTTAGGATTACTCAAAAGAATTGCATATAAAAACATTACAAAGACCTCTTGTGATTTAAGTAGTATTCTTGACATGCTTATGCTGCTTACTCCCCACATCTCTCTGCCACAGCAGCTGGAATTCTACCATCATAAATATGTTAAGATTAGATTGTACACAAATTACCTAGAACAGTATCATAAGCTTATAATACTTTATTCAGTCCCTTTGACCACTACAACTGAGCCAGGACCATGTCAAAAATTCAGACACGGTGGTAGTAAAAATAAATTTGGATAAAGATGAAGGGGAAAGAGCCTTAGGAGTAACTTCGCAAAATTTTCCAGCATTTGTCCATCTGGGACGTGACAGAATAGGGATATAAGATGCCACCATACTCCAAGAATCCACTGATAAATGTTATAATACTATGTTCTTGCAAAAGTCTTTGCCTTTACAACTGTAAAGACTAGAATTTCTAAGCTGGTGTGTTGGTACATGCCTGTCATCCCAGCACTTAGAAGTTCAGGCAGGAGGATCATGTAAGAGGGAAGAGACTGGAGTTTCTGCTTCATTACTTTCTATACTTGTAGTGCTTTCTCTTGGGCTGGAAAGCTTGGCTCCCCTTACTTGCTTTAATTTGCAATGCCTGCAACTGTTTGAAAATACTGCTGGTATTTCACTAATGTAATCTGACATCTAAAATTTCTTTATGGTTCTTTCTGGCATCAAGGTAGATCCATTCACGTGGGCTAATCAAAATACCGTGCTCATGGATTCCATAGGAATCCTCCATTTCTTATTCCCACTAGGACTATTTATGCGAATTTTTTCCCATCACATCACCAACAGAATATGATATCAAACTCTTAAGTGTTACCAATCTCTAGGTGATCAGTGGTGTAATATGTCAGGTATGTAACATTATTTTTTCTTATGTTTGAGCCATTTGCTTTTTTTCCTGTGAACTGACCATATTTTTTGTCCGTTTTTAAAACTAGGAGTCCTTCTCTTAGGAAGATTTCAATGTATATGGATTATTATTACTTCATCTATTTTCCCCTGGGAAAACTTGGGACTTAAGGTTTTTTGGGGTTTTTTTCTTTTTATTAGCATACATTAATTGCACAAGGGGGATTTGTTGTGACACTTCTGAATAGCCTTACATTGAACACTGGTTGCTGAATCACTTGGAATTAATATACATATACAATATGAAGGATCCAATTTCATCCTTTTCTACATGTTAGAATACTGCTGATTTAAAAAGCTATCATTACCACTGAGTAAATTTCCTAACCCACTTGAATCATGGCTTGGATTTTTAAGAATTATTTTCCATTGGTCTAATAATACCACACTTTTATTTGTACACTTTATAACATGTTCTGATAGCAGCCTCCCTCATTGTTCTTTTCTAGGTTATTTTTGCATGCTATGCAAGTATTCTACTACTGAACCCAGCCAGCCCATTCTGCCTTAGGTATTTTTCAACTAGGGTTTAGGCCCAGACCCTCCATTTGTGTTTCCTGCATAGCTGGAGATCTTCTGAGCTTTTTACCTAGAAAAAAGAGACCAAGTATACCACATCTTCCCCACCAAGTAATACTTGACTGACACAAAGATCAGGATCAAGATCCCAAAAGCTTCAGAAAATGAAATTAACACATAAAACTTGTGTTTCCAACAAAGAATCTAAACCAATATACTATAAAAATATTTAATATATACTTGGGAGTATATCATGCTGTCAAAGGATACTATCTATTACCTATACCATCTGTACAACAAAATGTGATTATTTTGCAGCTGAAGAAACGTAGGCATGGCCTGAACAAGTTTGCAAGGTCACATAGGTGCATATAGAACTGGGATTTAAACCCAGGCAGCCTGTCTCCAGAGTCTACCCTTGTAGATTTCTGGATACATTGAGAAAAATCTCAGTGATTTGGTTAAATAACAGACATTCAGTAAGAAAGTCAACAGAAATCTATGACACAACATTTTTGAAATCCTGGCCCATCTGAAAAGAAATAGGAGAAAACAACTGTCTCCCTACAAATGACACAATCTTGTGAAACAAGAACCTAATAAAAAGGCAAAACAGCTAAGCAACAAGTGTCCAATTGTTTTCCTATCTACAAACACACTGCAATTTTAAATCATTTGTGTTACTAATTACCTAACAATGCATTGCTTCACACCCATCAAGACGACTTGTTGGATTCAAATGGCCAGGATGTGGAGAAACTGAAATTCTCAGCTGGGAAATTAAAGTAGTACATTCACTTATTATACAACCCAGTAATTCCATCCTAGTATTTCACCAAAAGAAATGAGATGTCCAGATAAAGATTTGTACATGAATGTGGTAGCAGCTTCAGGCATAATAACCAGAAAATGGAAAAGACCTAAAAGCCCATTAAGGGTTAGATGAATGCAATGGAACACTACTCAACAATAAAAGACTTAATCCCTGATACATGAAACAAGATAAATCAATGTACAAACATTCTGCTGAGCAAAGGAAGCCAAACACAAAAGAGCTCATCCTTACTGATGCCACTTAGATAAAATTCTAAGTCCACAGTGCTGCAAGACAGATTGCTTAGACATTAAAAAAAAAAAAAAAAAAACACTTAAACGGAGGAATTTCAGTGTGTAAATTATACCTTAATTATCAAACTTAATCTACAGAACTGCGCTGGCCAATACTGTAGATGTGTGTGCTATTAGAATTTAACCAAAATGAAATATTTCCCCACATTTCAAGGGCTCAATACACTATAATACAGCTACTATATTAGACAGCAGAGAAAAAAACATTTCTATCATAACAAAAAGTTCTATTGGGCAGCAATGTCATAAAGGACTTGTATTAAGGACAAGCTTGATAGCTATATATTGATAAATTAATAATTATCAAAATTTTGCAAAGAAGCATTTATATACATGTCCACTGAAATTTACCTGACATTAATCATGAACAATCATACAAGAAAAATCTCAAACCATTCCCCAAAAAATCCTTTGTATTCTTCAATCCCATGCAACAGAACTAGACACCTTGTCCTCCCCACTCCCAAAACAGCCTAAAAACTAATCATACCAGTTGCAAAATTCAAAAAGCATAAACTGAATGTATGTATTACTTAGATCCAGGTGTTAAAATCTGTGCAGCGGATATATACTTTTTGGTCAGCACACACTCTTCCAGGAAAGTTCCCTTTCAGCACTGTCATGCCTTGTTTATATAACCTGCCTCTTCACAGTTGGGCAAATATCATAGTCCTCCACCTCATTCCTATAGAGGACTACTACTGATGCAGGCTACTGACTCAATCAGTCCTTACTCTGGGATCTTATGTCATAATGGTCTCTCTCAGGTTATGAAAACCAGAAATGTAAGATGTTACTGGTCATGTTTTTGTATCTTGTAGGAAAAGGCACATTAAACATAGAAAATGAATATTCAGAAGCCTCTGAATAGATAAACAGAACACTGAGTATGTAAGTTCTCAGGTGCTAGTTTTTCCTAAGACTCACGTTTAATAAATTGCTATGTTTGTTTTAACTAACCCAAGTTGTTTTTTCTCTATTGCAAATAACAGGTGATTTAACAAACCAAGCTAAGAATACATAGCCATTACTATACTCAGAAAATTTCATAGCCTGAAATAAAAATAGGTAACTGACATTCATCGAGTGTTAATATACATGAAGTACTATTTTAAGTACCTCACATATATTAACTCATTCTCACAGGAATCCCATGAGGTAAGTACTAATATCCCCATTTTTTACATGAGGAAAACAAGACACAAAGAGGTTATACAGCCTCACACAGATAAGTAATGAAACCGATTCAGGGAGTTTGGCCCTTCAGTGCATGCACTCAATTACTACCTCACATAAGTATATTTCTTACTAAAGAATAAAAACTAAAAATAAGAGAACTGAACTTGAAGTCAGATAAAATCATAAATGGTTAAAATATAAAAAGATGCTCAAATTCAGTATTATTCAAAGGAACAAAAACCAAGGTTGCTTTTCATGTCCTGGACTGAGAAGGATGAAAAGACAGCCAAAACCCAGTATAGGGAAGAATGTGGAACAATTCACTGCTTTTTTTAGAAGCATAAGAAATACAGTTTCAAATGACTATTAAACTAGCAAAAATAAATGAAGTTATAAAATTCAATGATCCCTCAACTAGAAAAACAAGTACACTTAAAAATACAGCTCGTAGCACTCTGAACTGGTTCCTTTATTCTAGAAAGCAATGTAATAAAATTTCTCCTGTCTCATGTTCATAAAATACTGTAATTCTGCTTTGGAGCACATATCCTGTGGAAATAGCCTAACTAATGGTTACAACAAAAAGAAACATGCACCAAGATATTTACAATACAAAGATTTGCAAACACACACCAACTAATACAAAAGTCAAAAGGTATTTCAAGTGAAAATTACAGACAATATTCAGAAATGTGTACAATTAAGTTCTAGGCCCAGGTTAAAAAACCATAATGGAGTGTGAACTTACTGATAATACAAAAAGTATACACATTTTTGAATATTGACAATTGGAAATTAATGTGGACTAGTACTTCATAATCTTTAAATTTATGATAGAATAAGCTCTCTTATTTTTTTTCTAACAGCCAATCTTAAAACACTTTCATTTTTACATTCTGGTAACTAAATATACACCGCTAAGTTTAAGTGAAACCTAAAATCTTAACCCTTTCATCTCAACTCCAAACCTATTCTGTCCTTTTATTATTATGAAATATGAAGTGTTCAATTAGACCAGGTCTAACGAGTCTTCAAAAAGAAACAAAAACAATTATGAGAAATAAAACAGGAATTTTGAAAATTCCCCTGCATTTAAGCAAACTTCTATGAACTGTCTACATTATTCTTTGGTAGCCATCAAACATACCCGACGCGATGACAGGATCTGTCATAAGTTCTCTAGTTATTGGACATATAAATTCATCAGGAATTCCAGAGGAAAGGGAATTCATCTTGTTCCTGAGCTCTTCGATTTTCCTCAGCACTTTACTACGTAGGCCTAGAGATTCTGAAAAGAAATTATTCCATTAGGACTAGAGAACTACTGGTAATCTTTATGTGAGACTTTAGCAGACAAAGAGTTTACCAACTGCAACCAAAAATCTGGCATACTACTTTGCCATATGAAAATTTTTTTATAAATTCCTCTGTGAATCTATGTAATACAGAATACTTGGATAGTTAAAATATGTCAGCAGCTAATTTGTAGCCTACTGCAAACCTTAGATTCTGAAAGTTCAAAAATTTCAGGTGGCTGGAAACCAATACACTTCACAAAATCAGAAAAGGTTCATTATTGGCCAATTTATTTATACATCAAGAGCTGAGGATGTGGTTCAGTGGTAGAGTATGTGGTTAGTATATGCAAAATCCTGGGGTCAATACCTAGCACCACACAAAAAAATTTTTTTAAATTTGCAGAACAAAAAAATTCCTAAAAATCGTTGTAAAAAAGTTCAGGTTAATGTAAGGAGTCCATATTATAATATTTTTAAACAATATTGGATGTGATACTTAAATAAAGCACAATCACAAATAAAATTCATTTTGTCCAAAACTGCACAATTTTCATTTTTACCTTATTTTTAAAAAAGTTTTAATTACTGGAAGTCTATAATTTTAGGAAGTATAGTGTTATTAGATGTTTACATTTTTAGAACTAGTTGACAATTCTACTTTAGGCTGGGGTGTTTAGGGTGGGACGGGTAGGAGAATTTTATCTCAGAATGCCTTGGTTCCCAGGCTGGCAGAGTGGCTCAAGTGGTACAGCAGATACTTAGCAAGCGTGAAGCCGTGAGGTTCAAATCCCAGGACATTTTAAAAAAAAAAGTCTCAGTTCCCTTAAGCCAAACCAGCTTGCTTTCTACGGGGAGGTAATTCTCCATGATGTTTACACAAATCTTAAGACATCTTTCATCTTTACAGTCTTTTCAAGGATGTCTGTAAGTAGCACTGGAGGCTGGGGATACTGTCCCCTTCTCAGGCAGAAAGCAGCTTCCCTTCCCAACCAGTGGAATGACAATGTCTTCGTCCTGGACTAGTTTGCCAGCAGACCCCTTATGATACTGGGGTTTTCATAAGCCTGCAGCTCCTTAGCTGTGACACAAACACAAACTGCCCCAGTGAGAATTTCGGGAAAGGAGGCTCAGTTAGAACATGAAGCCCAGGTCAACAATGCTATCAGCAATAAGCTGTTTAAGTCTATTTGGGCTTGTTGCCCATATTTATGTAAATGTGATGTCAACCTAGCAACTGCCTGCTGCTTGGAGACTGCTTTTCCTAGTATGACTTTCCCATATAACGTAGTGAAACTAAATTGAGGATCTTTAAAATGTGTTTTAAAAGTACTACAACTTAAGTCAGTATTTTCCTGTTGAATGACCTGGCAAAAATATTTATGGCTCAGAGATTCTCTCAGATACATTATGAGAGCTCTATCTAAATTCAAGAGAAAGCCATCTTGGGCTAGTGGAGTGGCTCAAGTGGTAAGAGCTCCTGCCTAGCAAGTGAGAGGCCCTGAGTTCAAACTCTGGTGCCACCAAAAAAAAAAGAGGGAGCGAGAAAGCTATTTCAACACAAAAGTGCCTTCTTAGGAAAGGGTATCTCTAAAATCAAGCATATTGTCATCTGATCACAACAGATGACCTTAATACCACAAGTCATAAAAACAGTTTATTGAGTTCATCCCTTCCTAGGATTGCTCCTTCCACAATACTGCCTTTTCCAAGGGTTAGCTAAGCCAGGTATTTTTATTTCTGTCAAGAAAATAAATGGAGGGTTTAACAGGAGTTACAGTGATGGGTCATGGACTTTAAAAATGAAAATGAGAATAGAGATAGATCACTTAAATAGGTAAGTAAGAGCAACAGACTGAAGGCTTTGATCAGATCAAGATATACTGAGGTGAAAGTACCAAAGATGAGATGGTAGAAAACTCATTGTGACTGGGTATGCTTTCTGATAATTTCTCAAGTAAAACTTCTCTACCCCAACAGGACTGCTAAACTGTCAGGACTGTCTCTAGAGTGTTTCTAGAATATGTTTATAATTAGACAGTAGTCATCCTGTTTAAAGGAATAATTATACAATTTATAACAAGAAAATAAGATCAATTAATATTCTGAAAAAACTGCATTTTCCTTTCTGTCAAAAATATGTACACTAATATGTAAAATATTTGTAATAGAGACTATTAAAAGTCCTAATTCAAACTTCCCCAGACAAGAAAAGGTTAAACTGGGTGTTCTCCTTGGGCACTTTTAATGTCATTTAAAAATGGAGCTCACCTTGCCCCTTAGGGAAGTATTTACCAGATTGTTTCCACAGAGCTAAAGGAGAAACAAATATCTCTTTTTGTGAGTGAGGGTTAGGGAGAAGTGTTATAAACTTAATTGCTCAGAAAGAAAGGACACTTACCTGCTGAGGACTAGTAAATCCTTGGTATGGGAATGGTGGTATTTGGGTATTATTTACTATAGTCCTGAAAGGTAGCATACTGTAACAAGTTAAAATGGGCCACCAGCTCCAGTACCCTCCTCCTTTCCCCTTACCTAACTCTAGAAATGATAACACAATTGAGAATTTGATGGAACCATCAAATGTATAAAACTAAATATAAAATTGAACTGTGAAAATCCCTGAGCAAACAGAAGGTAACTGGGTTCCAGAGTGAAGAAATGGGAAATGACAGGTCACAGCAGAGATCAGGGTACACAAATGGACAAGAGACCTTTCTACTTGTGCCCTTAGTCTTCCCAATCCTGTCTTACAAGCAGCATTACCAAAGGAGCCCTGCCAGCATCAGCTGAAGGATGGATAACCTGACAGTGCTAAAGCCTGGAAACCTTAGTCTGATCTTCAGTGCCCTGACAGGGACCAAGAAGAACCCAAAGTTAGCTTCTTGCTTTTTTTATTTTAAAAAATATAAATTCTAATATCTTATTTTAAATACTTATAAATAAAAATACCAAGAGACGACATAAAAACTAAATTAGGAAAGGAAAGGGAAACACAACTATTAAGTAGGGTAGGAATTTTTTTAAAGGACTTGGGAGAAACAGTAGCACTGTTTCTGGTTGTTGCTGCTTTTTGGGGTTTTTTTGGTGAGACTGGAGTTTGAACTCAGGATTTCACACTTCGAAGTAGGCACTATACCACTTGAACTACACCTCCAATCCATTTTGGTTTTGTTATTTTGGAGATGGTCCCAGCCTAGCCTTGAACCATGATCCTCCCAGTCTCAGCCTTCCAAGTAGTTAGGATTACAGGTATGAGTCACCAGCACCTGGCAGCAGTAAGGTTTCTTAAATTTACTGAATCTCCACATTAAAAACTGAGCAACTAGATAGCAAAAGCAAATTCCACAGACACTTTCAACAAAGAAAGCTAGCAAGGTATCCTCATGAACCTCACAATATAAATGGGCGAGGACAAACCACCAACATCCAGAGGACATCTGTATGGAAGGAAGCAACAAGACATCTGATGGGCCTGAGAGGAGGAGACACCGAAATGTTCAAAAGTACTTGGTAGAAAGTGAGGTAGGTAAACTTAAGAGTGGCAGCTGAACTGGAAGGGTTATGCCCAATCCAGTAGTGGGTCAGTGCACAATAACTAGATTTGAAGGGACTGTTTCACTTTAATCATTATAAAGATAAAAAAGTGTGCAATTACTTAACGATATATAGTTAGCTATGTAACAAGTGAAAATCTTAAGTATTACTAAGAAATGAAACATAAAACTTTCAAAATCTGAGGATATAAAGGAAGTTGTCTTAAAATGCTTTAAAAAGGAATTTTTATTATATTTTTTTGAATCATCTGTTAGCTTTCTGTTACTGTGACAAAATATCCAAGACAACTTAAAAGGAGGAAAAATTTACTTTGGCTCAGTTTCAGAGGTTTCTATCTATAGCCACTTGACCTGTTGCCCTTGAGCCTGTAGCAAAGAAAGAACATCATGGTGGGCTTATGAGGCAAAGAAAGCTGCTCACCTTGTGGTGGCCAGTAAGCAAGAAACAGAAAAAGATTTGGCACAATATCCCTTACAAGAGCATGTATCCAATGACCTAACTTCCTTCCATTAGGTCCTACCATAGTGCCATAAGCTGCTGGTGACTAAGTCTTTAACACTTGATAAATCGTGGCAGATTACAAAATGATGAAAATGTCTTGTGTGCTTTTATGATTTCTTGGAAAGAAAACATATAAAAGTGAACCCTTTGAAAAAAATCTCATTCCCAATTAAGAATGTATGATTAATGATTATTTCAGCATAAGCATAAATACTGACATGATAAGGAACAGTTCCTTGGCCTTTATCATTTATAATTAATTCCAAACTCCAAGATATGTAGCATTTTAATACTCCAAAGACCCAGCTATAAACTGAGGCAAATATGTACATGAAAGTCATGTGGTCAATTAGTAGACTCACTGCTTTCCTAGTAGCATATCAAAAATTGACTTTCATGCTCTTCATCTTTCATACTTTTTTTTTTTTTTTTTTGGTGGTGGTACTAGGGTTTGAACTCAGGGCCTCATGCTTGGCACTCTACAACTTGAGCCATTCTATCAGTGCTTTTTTGTGATGGTATTTTTCCAAATAGGGTCTCTTGAATTATTTGCCTGGGCTGGCTTTGAACTGCAATCCTTCTGATCTCTGCCTCCTGAGCAGCTAGGATTAGAGGCCTAAGTCACCTGCACAGAGCTGATACTTCATGTTTCTGAATGAGATATTAAATACTACAGTAGTGTCATAAAGTCATGTATTTACAAAGGTCTGAAAACATACCCTTCTCAACATCAAGGTTGAACATTTCTCATGTAAATGTAGTACTAGATATAAGGAATTATTTTCTAACTAAACCTCTAGGGCTATTGTACCCCTAGGTTTTCATTAACTATCCTAGAAAATGACTATTATCCTTGGTTAAATCAGAATTCAGAAATTCAAGTATGCAGAACGATCCTTTATGGAGTCTCTACTCCCATTTCCTACATGGGAGCAGGAAATGTTTCTTTTTTACATTTCTCCTTACTTTTGTCCTGTTATACTAGATTTCTTTCTTAATAAACCTTACTATTATTTTTACTACAAAAAAGAAAGTTATGTATTTACAAAAGGCCTATTGATAAATGGTTTGATAGACTGATCAATTCTTTGACAGTAGTTGTGTCACACTTAATGGGTATACTACTTTAGTCTCTAACAGTTCAATATACATTATATTGCACAATAAATCAACTTTCTCCATATGCTGAATGTTGAGCAAATTCAGATTTTTTTATGCTGACATTAGAAACTGCCTTAACAGTTATACTATGTAAGCAAATACAAGCAAAACAGTTATGCATATAAAAAGTAAAATTCACTACCATATAAATCATTAGTTTGTCTCTTACCTTTATTTTCAATCCCAATTTTAATCCTCTATTAGCCCAATTTACTATTTTAAGAATCTATTTTTCTTAAAATTCAAGACCAATGTACATATGAATAAAAAAATAAATTAAAAAAAATTCAAGACCAAAAGAAATTCACTGTAGCTTAAAATAGCACCTGTAGAAGATTAAAGTTAGCTTCTTGAGCCTTTAGAGTAAACACTTTGCAGAATAAACAAACAAACTTTAAGATACTTCAGACTGGCTGGGTATGGTGGCACATGCATGTAATCCCAACACTCAGGAGGTTAAGTCAGAAAGATTGCAGTTTGAGGCCAGCCTGGATTACATAGTAAGATCATCTCAAAAAAACCCAAAACTTCAGAATGGTTTGAAAAAACAAATGTGCTAGTGTATTTTCTAATTTTGCATCTAATTTGAGTTTACCAACTTTTCATACTTTAAGAAGCAGAAAGCAAAACTGTTATTTACTAAAGAATGTGCAACATTTTTGTCGCCACGTAATTATCAGAGCCAAATCCAATTGAAATATTTAAGTAAGTTTGGTGGGGATTAATAGTTGAATGTGAAAAATCATTGTGGCGACAAAAATGTGAAGAAACAAACCCTCACACACAACTCACGGAAATGTTACATGATGCAATTCCTTTAGAATATAGTCCTAAAGCTCTCCAAATGTTAAAAAGAATTACTCCCTCCTAATTATGTCCCCAAGAGAAATAGAAACACAGTCACAAAACTTGTACACTAATGTTCATAGCAGCCTTATAGATAATAGCCAAAAATTGGCTATTTTAAATTTTAAATTAGCCCTTTAAATGCCCAGCAGCTGGTGAATGAATAAACAAAATGTTGGACAGTCATACAACATGACTCAGTGATAAAGAAATGAAGTTGAAACATACAAAAACATAAATGAACCTTTAAAGTATTTTAAACTAAGGAAGCCAAACACAAAGGGCACATATTGTATGAAGAATCAATTCACAAGACATCTCCAAATGGCAAGTCTACAAAGACAGAAAGTAGATTAGTGGTGGCCAGAGTCTAGGGAGAGGAAAGAATGAGGAATACTGCTAACAAGTACAGGAGTTCTTTGAGAAAATATACATCTCTGATATACGAAAAATCACTGAATTGAATACTTAAAAATGACTTGTACACTGAAAATTATAATGCATTGTTGAAAGAAATTAAGACCTGAATGAAAGAGAAGCATCCTGTGCTTATGGATTAGAAGACTTAATATTGCTAAAATGACAACAACCTTCAAATTGATCTATAGATTCAAAACTATTCCTATCAAAGTCAGATACAGAAACTTACAAGTTGATCCCAAAATTCATATTGAAACACAAGGGACGCAGAACAGCCAAAACAATTTTGAAAACGGCAACACAGATGGAGGATATATACGTCCCAATTTCAAAAATTACTACAAAACTACAATAATCAAGACAGTCTGGTACTAGCATAATAGACATAAATCAACAGAAAATTAGAGGAGTCCAGAAATAAACTCTCACATATATGGATACATGATTTTCAATAAGAGCATCAAGACAAATCAAAAGGAGAACAGTCTTCAACAAAGATGGTATGTGGCAGGGGGATTTTGAGAGCCAATTAAGCCATGAGGGTAGATCACTCACAAATAGGATCGGTGCCATTATTAAACAGACCTCAGAGAGTGAGCGCTCCTCTTCTGCCAAGTGAAAACACAATGGGAAGACCATCCACAAACCAGGAAACGATCCCTCACTAGACACAACATTTGCTTTCTAAGCCTTCAGAACTGTGAGAAATAAACTTCTGTTGTTTATAAGCTACCTAAGTTTATAGTATTTTTGTCACAGCAACCCAAATGAATTGAGACAATATCATTAGTCATCAGGGCAACGTAAATAAAATCCTCAAGGAGAAACCACTTCACAACCACTGAGATGGCTATAATTTAAAAATCAAATAAGTATTGGTGAGAAATGGAGAAAGTGGAAGCTTCATACATTGGTGATGGAACTGTAAAACAGCACAGCTGCATTGCAAATAGCCTGGCAATTTCCTCCAATGTTAAGCATCGAATTCCATGTGACCCACCAATTCTATTTCTAACTATACACCTAAGAAAACTGAAAAACAGATGCTCACACAAAAACTTGTATACAATCATTCATAGAAGCATTATTCGTGACAGCTAAAACATGTAACTAACTAGTAACTGGATAAGCAAAAGTAAAAAATCCATATAATAGATTATTAGTCATAAAAAGGAATGAAGTACTGATAACATGTTACAAGCTGAATAAACCTTAAAAACATATTAAGGGAAAAAAGCTTGGCATGAAAGGACAGATATTAGTACTTACATGAAAAGTCAAGAATAGGCAAAACTGTGAGACTGAAAATAGATTACTGATCACAGGGGCTGGTTAAAAAGGGGAATAGGATATGAGATTTCTTTTTGAGATGATAAAATGTTCCAAAACTAAACAGTGGTGATAGTTTCACAACTCTGAAGAAACAAAAATATCACTATACTATACTCTTAAAAGAGTGAATTTTGTGACAAAGAGTTATACTCAATTTTAAAATACACAAGTTTTTAAAATTGTAATTACAGGGTAGGTTTGGTTACCCAAATAAGTGTTATATATCTTCTTTTTCCTAACATAATCCATAAAATATATTCACCAGAATTACTGTGCTAGAATATTAAAAGGAAACCATGAATGCAACTAATCGATTTCACAGCACTTAAATGTTGATTTTAAGACCGCCTAATTTTTCACTAATCTTACCAATTTTCAAATCATCAGCCAGACTTTCTTTTGTAAGATTCAACAGTTCTTTTCCATCAATGTTATTCATCTTGAAAATACTGACAAGGTCTTTTAAACCTTGTGCACAAAGCCACATTGAGACATCCTCCTCTGACCAGTCTTCAGTAAATTGTTTCAGCTGATCTTCTGTGCTCCTTGCTGTAAAATACACACATACACACACACACAAAAAAAGGCAAGTGAGGTAACAAAGTACTTCTTTTATAAACATTCCTACTTTGAATTACAAAGTAAATGCAATTTCTTTAAATCTATTTCACTACTTTAACTTCCTTTAAAGAAGTTCAAAAATTAACTCACTATATGTATATACTAAATTTAACATCATTTAATAATGTATTACATATTACCCCTATGGAACTTTTTTCACTTCAGAAAAAAATTTTCCTGTTTTTGTGGTGCTGGGGATAGAACCTTAGCCCTCACACTTGCTAGGCAAGCACTCTATCACTGAGTTACACTCCCAGCTCAGTTTTTCTTAATTATATAAAACCCAATCCAACAAAGGTATTCTGTGGGCTCTATCATCTGTTTATCAGCACCATCGTTAGGTTATTTATTTCTGACAGTGACAAAAATAAAAACTCCTAAATTGTGTGGCTATGTTGCTTGATGAGGCAAAAAACAAAGCGAACAAAATACAACTATAATTCCTATTCTTTCCTCTGGCTACATTTATCAGAAAAACTAGTATGGAATGGAAATAACTCATGAAACTACAGAAGGTGTGATATACATGTATGTACCCTCAAAAGTATTTACCAACAGTTTTAATGTAGGTACATCAACACTGGCTTCTCTAAAATTATTTTTAGATTACATTGTTTGTTTGTACACATTATGTTGAAAAAAAAAAGTAGTATGAATAACTTTTCAAAAGATTTGTTAAATCTCAGGCTAGGAAACAGCTCACTGGTACAGCACTTGCCTAGCACACTCAAGGCTCTGAGTTTAATCCCCAGGACCACAAAAAGAGAGTTACCATATTTCTGATTTTAATAGTGAGTGGGAACATCCTGAGTTAAAGATGATATCCTTACTAACCTTGGCCAAGTGTTTCCAGGTCAAATTGCCAGATGTTCACTGTTTTGTCCATCGAACCAGTAGCAAGTAAAAGGACACTGGGTGCAAAGGCACAAGTTGTGACATACCTAGTTAACAAAAACAACTATTACATATCTTCTGGCTAATTTTTCAATTACATTAATAAAAAGTGAGGCTAAGTTCAGACCTGGTATGCTGAGTCAATGTGTGAAGTACATTGTGAGTATTCTGGAAAAAAAAAAAAAAAAAAAACAGCTTTATGTTTATTCAGGCAAGAGAAAAGCTGCTAATATTCACTTCACATACATGGTTTATATGCTATGTGCATTCTAATACTTATAATCAGTAATTAACATAAGTTCAAACTACACTTGATGAACAACCAAGAATGGCCTCTATAACAGTATTATCAAGAACTTACTTCACTCTTTCTCAATTATCAGCATTGTTGTCTACTGATGGCCTTTTCAGAAAGTTTTAGTACAGAAGACCCTTGGCATTTACCAATCTATTTGAACTTACTGATAGTAACCCAAATGTCTATTACATGAAATGATTTGCATTTCTGCTGGGGCATATGACTTGTACACATTGCAGGTAAGTGAACAGAAATTTGTCACTTGTATTTTTTTCTTGAAGAAACTCTATGGAAACCATTCATTTTTCTTCATATACTCATGCAACTTGGTGTTTGCCTGCATAAACAAGCCAAAACTCCCATTTTTCCAAGCCCACACCAATCTACTCTTTCTTATGCTAGTCTCTAAATCTACCTCAGACACTAAAAATGATAGGCCACTTTCCACTATACTCTCCAAAATCGCGGGGTAAGCACTCATTCTTTGCTGTTATGGAATCTGGAATAAAAGTTTAACTAAGAGTGATCGTTGCATACTGATACTCTTCAAATTTGTAGTTTTTGTGATTAGATGTTTAAATCTGTCCATCTTAAAAATCATTATTAAGATATTGAAGGGTTTGTCCCAGCACCAATACCTTACCTGCATGAATATTTTACCATTTGTGAGAATGTATATATTGTATTTTTGGGGATATCTTTCTTAGACAGAAAAAAAATTTTTTTATATAATGCTTTAATGAAAACTGATGTTAAGTTGTCAAATATAATTTACATCTCACACAAGATTTTGAAATACTTACAGTATCATATATTATGACAGACTTATCCACTGATCTTTAAAAGAAAAAAGGAAATAATGGGTGAAAAGTTCTATGAAAACAAAGTGAAACATTTATGTGATCAATGTTTCTAAACTGTTTTAGTAACTTTTTAAAAAAAGTCTAAAATATTAACATACAAGTATTTAGAATGGAGTCTTTTGTTCATATGCATGAATTTTTATTCAAAAAACTACCTGACAAATAAAATTTATCAGCCTTTATCAAAACAGTATAAGCTACATACACTTCATAGATATAAATAGATCAAGCATCTATGATATGTAAGAAAGACATGATTCCATATCATCAGTAACTCAAAGGCAAAAATCATTGCAAGGAAAAGCTATTACCTGCTAATCCACTGTTTTAGAAAGCATCATTCTTTACTGCTGATAGGGCTATGACTTAATTACTAATCAGTGTACATGTATATTTATGAACATTAGGATTCTAAATCTGATGTTGACTACTTTAATGCTATAAAATTAAATGAAACCATCTGAGATTATTCCTGCAGGGAAAAGGATCATAATACAAAGAAAAATACAACTATGTAACAAAGTACATAATTTAAAGCAACAGCTAAAAATGCTCATTTCTAGAATCCCACCCCCTTTGGAAGCAGTCTTTGTGCCTCTATGATATACACTACCAGGTGAGAAAATGTCTCAACAAGGCTAGTGTTATTTCTTTTTGTGTAACACTAATATTTGTCCTTTTAAAAGGTAGCTGATTATAGTCTATCCACAGGAGTCACACTTAAAATTCTGTTAGTATGCCATCCAATGTTGATGATGGATACTGACTTCAAAATTTTTGTCATAAGTTCAAACTAGGAATTATACTTTAATAAAAGTTCAAATAGAAAATACAACACAAGAAGATGGGAAGCTCATAATATATTCTGGATGTGAAAAAAATCTAAACAGACTAAGAAATAACATTAGCAAATCTGCTCTAGTCATCCACACTTGTAATTCCCGCTATTAGGGAGGTGTAAGTACTAAGAGTGGGATTCAAGACTAGCCTGGACAGTTACTGATGCCCTAACTCAAAAACAAGCCGAGTGGGTTGGCACATGCCTGTGGTCCTAGCTACTTGGAGGAGGTAGGAGGATCATGGTCTGAGGCTGCCCTGGCACGTGACCCTATCAAAAAACAAACTAAAGCAGAAAGGACTGGGGGCATGGCTCAACTGGCGGAGCACTTGCCTGGCAAGCATGAGGCCCTGAGTTCAATTCTCAGCATTGGAAAAAAAAAAAGAATATTAGTAGCTAACATTACTTGAGTACGTATATAGTAGACAAAATTTATAAACACTCTTAGTAGTCCTAATTTCCTCAAGGTTTAGGTTATTATTTCTGGAATATCTAAAATTCTTAGGGAAAATTCCACTATTTCTGAGCATCCTTTAAAAAAAAACTAAAAACACTAAGGGGTGACATCAAGATGACAGATCAGACTTCCCAGGACCCATCCCCTCACAGAAATATCAATTTGAACAACTATCCACAGACAAAAATGACTTCTTAAGAGCTCTGAGCTAGGTAACCAGTTACAGCAACATAGCTGGAAGTCAGAAGCACATTAAATATTAAAGATTTTATGAAGACAAATGGAAAACTTGGTAAGTGAAACTAATCTTTAAAAAAAGAAAAAGTGTACTAGTGATTGAATGATACAGATTTTGGTTCACTGGCATACAGCCCATTCCGAAGCCTAGAATTTCTAAGGGATGATAGCCAATTTCATTCGGCTGACTGGAACCCAGACATACTAAGTTTGCACAGAAAATGGTCCCCATTACATTCTGTCTCAAATATAACCCTCATTAGTGTCAAAAACAACAAAGATAAAAGGAAATTCCACTTTCTGAGACTACCTACCAGATGCAATTAAAACTAACTCCTCCTAGATATGTCATTTGAAAAACAGGATCATCATTAGTCATCTTTGTGAGCACTGTATTGCTGGGACAAACTGTAAGATATTGTATAGAGTACAAAGGGAAAAAAGATGACTTGGGTTTTGGGAAAGGTGATTTGAAACCTACTATTCATTACAAAGTAAGAGAGTTGTTCATTAAAACCACTCCTGATTCTAAAAATAAAGCTCTGTCATCTACATACAAAATAAATACAAACAACCATTTGGTTATTTTGTTGGAGTGGGGGAATACAACTTCCCATCTCTTCTGGAATAAGATTCGTGGCCTCTTTGCTTCCTTTACTTTGAAAAAAGAATGTCAGATGACTTGGGGTTTGGAGTAAGACACTGGGGCCATGCTCCTTCTGCATTTTCTAATTTTGTGATCTATCCCTGCAAAGCAAGTTTGTAGTAAACAAGGCAGCCCAAGAGCAGATGAACAGGGAAGTCATGTCTCTGTCTTCTGTTGCTCATTGGTTTTCAACTCGAGAAGAGGAGGTGTGATTTATTGAACTCCTAAAACTATACCAATTATGAACATTTTAAAAACTGGTTTCCAAGGAATCCTAACTACTAAGTCTTTATGGAAAGAGCAGCCTCTATTTGAATTATAAAGATGGATGTTCCTGCTCAATAGGAGCTTACACACATATCACTTCTTACATCTGTCAGGATTAAGGGGATGAAAGATGAAGGGAAAACTTCATTTTTTGCTACATGACATGTGATGCTATCATAGCTCTGAAGGCTAATGAAATATGTGAAGCGAATATGAAAATTCAAGTGTCTTCTACTAAGCCAGGCATTGAAAAGATCCTCAAAAATGTAAAACAATGCCACTCTTCTCACTATTTTTGCTTTAATTTTTCCTTTAAAAGTCTGCAAATATACAAAAAGTTTAATATAATCATCCCTCAGTAACTATGGGGAATTGGTTCTAGCACAAACACACATACACACCCATCTACAAATAATCAAGTATAAATGGTAGAATATTTGCATATATTCTATGCACATCCTCCCACATACTTTAAATCACCTCTGTATTACTTATACCTAATACAGTACAAATGCTAAATCAATAGTTACACTGTATTGTTTAAGGAATGACGGTAGGAAAAGTCTATTACATGGTCACTACAGATGCAATGTTTTCCCAATATTTCATCTGCAGTTGATTGCATTCACAGATGCAGAATCCATGGATATAAAAGGACAACTATACTATTGTTTTTAAATGAATTAAAAAATATTAGGGTTTTCTGTTTTTATTTCCTAATAAAGGTTAGGAAAGACTTCCTTTATCCAGAATGCTTGGGACCACAAGTATTTCAGATTCTGGATTTTTTCACAGTTTGGAACATTTGCATAAACTTAATCAACTGAGCACCCCTAATCTGAGAATCTAAAATCTGAAACACTCCAAAATCAAAGCTTTTTGAGCACCATGTTGACACTCAAAAGGTTTCAGATTTCAGGGACTTTTGTGCTTCAGATATACAGACTAGGGATTCTTAGTCTGTTTACAAATAGTGATAGCTACAACCCATAATATACAAAAGCACTTTGGGGTCCTCAATAACTTCTAAGAGTGCTAAGGAATCTTAAACCCCAAAAATATGAGAACTACTTCCCTAAATCATGATTCAAGTCTTTGTTTCACCTTTAACACCTCTCTGCTATAGCTAGGCCTCATGTCAGAATTGCTCTTAAAATTTCAGCAAGACTGATGTAGCTCAGTGGTAGAGCACTTATCTAGCATGCGTAAAAACCTGGGTTCACTCCCCAGCACCACACAAGAAAAAAGTGTAACGTCTCAGTATTTCTCCTAAGTTTACAATATAAAGTTTGCAAGTCTTTTAATAGCACCAGGTCCTCTGTCATCTCTACAGCCTTTTTTTTCAGCCTTATTCTCCTAATCTGTGTTTGTGGTTACCATACACACTAGGTTTGGATGTGTTTGTCCTAAAGGGTTCCTGTGTTACAAGTTCTCAGTGTGGCGATGTGAGAGGTAGCAGGATCTCTAAAAGGAAAGCCTAGTGGGAGATCTTTAGGGTCACTGGGTACCCTGCCCTCGGAAGAGACTGAGGCAGTTCTTATGGGATCCTAAGTTAGTTCTCATGAGAGGAAGTTGTTATAAAAGCCTAAGTCTGACCCCTGAATTCTTTACCTTTCTGCTTTGAGATGTGATCTCTTGCTCCCATATGCAGTGCTCCCATTGTGATGAAATTCATCCTATGGTTCTCACTAGTGCCAAACTGATGCAAATGCCATGCCCTTGAACCCCCAGAACTGTGAGCTAATTAACCCTCTTTTCATTATAAAGTTACCCAGCTTCTGGTATTTTGTTATACTAATGAAAAACAGTCTAATACATTTTAGTCTGCATGAGAATTAAAAATGAGAAAAGGAATGCCCTATCTGTTCTGCAATCCTACCATTTCTGCATATATTAATTCTATTCTGCCTTTTACATGACCATCCATATCTATGTAATATACACCTTTCAACCTACAATCCTATTCTATTCTCCATTCATTTTTCATGTCTAGTCACTTAAATTTATACTCTTCCATCTTATCCTGCTACTGTTTTTACTGTCTCCCTCCCATATGTGTCCATTCCATCTTACAAGTGACTTTTAGTCACAAATGGAATCCCTCTCTTATTAACCAGTTGATTTGCTCTTATGTATCCGCACACCAAGTATGGTTCAAATACATCTGTTGATTCTCCTAAAAACCTAAATGTTTGTGTTTCATGTAGTTACAATTCCAACTCATTCATCACTTGCCTATATATTCAAATAAACTAAAAATACTGAGAAAAACATTTGAATGTGACCTAGACCACCATCAAAAACATTCAATACTTAAACTTCCACTACAGTATAATGTAGTGTAATGGTAGCTGAGACTCACACATACACAAACTGTCAAAGAATCACACATACACAAACTGTCAAAGAATCACAATGCTATAAAAAGAATACAAAATAATATATCACTTAAGACTTCTTCCATGATTCAGAAGGTAGGATAATGTCAGGTGATTGCAGTGTTGTTAGGTTCTCACCATAAACATCAACTATTAGAAAAGAGACTTAAAATTACTTCAAAAGCACAAACTTTCAGTTGTATTTCCTTTTACATGTCCTGCTATAACTGGCAGAGAGCTCAGCACACAAGAGAGCCATAAGTACTTAAATTTCATATAATCATTTTGCCAATTACCTTCCCCCAAAACAAGAGAAGAAAATTCAACATTGTTTGAATTTTCCAATGATTTAAATCCTACTTCAAAAGAGATTTTTGTTTTCTTTTGCTTTTTGAGACAGGGTCTCACTTATGTAGTGCTTTGACTCACAATTCTCCTCCCCTAGCCTCCCAAGAGCTAGGATTACAGATAAAGGCCACCACACTTAGCTTTGTTTTTTGATGATGACCAATATTTATCTTTTGAGATGAATGAGCCACATCAAAAATAGTGGAATCATAACTATTTGGCTAACTTGTCTAGCAAAAATTGGAGCATATTGGAAAGAGAGCCATCAGGCTTCAGTCAGATTATTTAAACAGAGGTTAGGAACCTAAATATTTTGGCTGGAGTCAAAGTTGCTGTGATGAGCCATGAATGTGAGCTGAAATGCTATGGTCTATGAGATCACACATAAATATTTTAGAAAGCCTAGTGGAACTGGCTGTGTACAGTGATGTATGCCTGCAATCCCAGCTACATGGGATCCAGCTTGGATCTCAGTTTGAGATCAGCCCATGCAAAAAGCACAAGACCCGATCTGAAAACTAACTAAAGCAAAAAGGACTGGGGGAATGGCTCAAGTGGTATACAATGCTTGCCTAGCAAACATTAAAGCCCTAGACTCTAATACTCCACCTTCCTCCCCCGCCACACACACAAAAACCCTTAGTGGCAAGAAAAATAAAGTATACAGAAGTATTCAAAAGGAGAAAAGTATAAAGCAATTGACTCACGCTGTGTCCAAATCAAGTGTTTTATAAAATACAGCTTTGAAAAAGCCAAGATTTAAAATTTCAACAAAGATCATAATAAGTAACACAGTAGCCTTAAAAAAAAAAAATTCTAGAAACAAAAAATAAGCTAAATTAAAACTCAATGGATTACTTAATAATAGCACACTGGCTGAAGAGAGAATTAGTAAAGGGGAATTCACTGAGAATTAAGTATAAAAAAACAGAAACAAGGAAAAATGTAAGAGAAGATAAGAGAAATAAAGTTCTTACTAAGAAGTTATTGTTTGCATTTAACTGAAGTTCCAGAATTAGAGAAGAGACAAAAAGGGACAGAGGCAACATTTGAAGAGATAATGAATAAGATATAAGATGCTCAAAGAATTTCTAGCAAACTAAATAGAAAGAAATCCACACAGATAAAGTGCACAAAAAACCACAAATAGAAATCTTTATGAATAGACACAGGAAAAATTATGAATTACAACCAAAGGAACATGCTACATTGAAAGTTAACTTGTCTGTAGTGATACACCAAAATAATATGCCCTCAGTGTGTTTGTTGCAACAAACAAGGTTGGTTTAGTATCTGAAAATCAGTGTAATTCATCCTATGATCATCTTGAAAGAGAAAAAAAATCACCTGCAGAAATATATTTTATGATTAAAACACAAGCACAATAAAAACCTTTAAAAAACTGTAAGGAAGAAAAGAGCTGATAAAGCTCACTTCCCCAGTCACTGAGTGTATTTAACAATGAAAGCACTCTGCAGTCACACAAGGGGTGCCTGTTACCACTATTATCACCAGCCCAGCAGTGTTAGCAGTTCAGTAAGGCACAGACTTCAAAAAGGCACAAGAATTAGAAAAGGGACAAAAACCATCATTATGTTAGACTTTGTAGCAGAGAATCCAAAATAAGAAACTTTATAGATAAATCCACATATTTCCATATATATTTCCATGTATCAATCACAACTTTTAAAGACAATAAAGAACACTAACTGCCTGAAAATAAGTCTAATAAGAGATAAGCATACATAGAAGACAATTATCAAAAAACACTTTTAAATGTTTCTGAATTAAAAGTCTCGATGTCATTGAAATGTCAATTCTCCCCAAACCAATATCCAGCAGGTTTATTGGGGGCAGGGTGAGGGAAGTGAGGTTAAGCTAACACTAAATACATATGGGAGTGTCAGGAGCCAGGAGGAATCAAAATATAAAGCCTTCTAGTATTAAAGCAAGGACATGCACAAAAACAGAACAAAATAGCAGGCTGAGAAACAAACCCACAAATATAGGATCAGTGATTTCTGACAAAGAAACATTACAATGAAATGACAGAAAAAGACAGTCTGTTGGTGTTAGGACAAATGGATAGCCATATAGAAAAAAATAAAACTGGATCCCTACTGCACCCCATAGACATAAATCCATTTTAGGAAAGGCAAAATGATAAAGGTTTTATAAGCTAATATAGGAAAGTATCTTCATGAGCTCAGGACAAAGAAACGGATAACACTGAAATGATGAACTCTTGAGAAAGCAAATGTACAGGGTGGGAAAATATATTTGCAATACATTAAAACCAACAAATGGTTCACACATAAATCAACTTAAACAAAAAAGTAGTCCTATGTATGACCTGAGGTGCTGTTGCCAGAAAAGGACATTAGAAAAGAGCTTCTGGGGCAGAATCAACAATGTTGTGTTTCTTGACCTGGCATGTGGTTACACAGGATACACCATAGTAATTCATCAACCTATTCTTTTATGGGTTACGTATTTTTGTTTGTTCTGTTTCATGTCAGAATGGTTTAAGAAAACTAGACTGCTTACCCTGAGACTAGCATCTGCCCATCATGAGAAAAAGCACACGCCAAAACAGGAGCACTGTGCCCACTCAGTGTACTTTTATATTTTAATTCAAAACCTGCAATTAACAAGGTGAGAGAAATTAGCAAGCTGACCATGCTTAGAATTTAGTTTTAAGACAACACTATTTCATTTACTTAATAATCTTTGAGCACCTATAAAGACACAAAAACTAAAAATCTTTATACAGCTCAGATTAATACATATAAGCAAATAGTTGAAATGCAGTGTTACTAAGAGGTTTCAAAAACTCAACTGTGGATTAAAAATGATGTGCTCAGCAAAGGTTAGATGAGTAATTTTATAACTGCCAAATTATTTTTAAACACTTAAACTATACAATTTTTGTGTGTAATGAAAAGGAAATATACTAATTGCCCAAAATACTAAAAAATTTAGGGCTTATTTATATTTTGTAAAATCTGACTTTAGAAAAATATTTTCTCATTCTGCAAATAAAATAACCAATGGTAATTTACACATCTTATGATTCCAATATATCTAAAATACTCCTACAAAATATGGTAACACTAGAATAATTTTTATGCTTTATAGAATTACTGAAAATAAACACAACTCTTTTAAAGGCAAGCTAAGGGAATGCAATAGTTCTTAATAAAAATAATTAAGAAGTTAGTCTGAGGGGCAGGGAAATAAGTGAAATCTGTATCAAATACAAGAACCCCGATTTTGAAGTATTTTTTTTCTTTTACTATTCATATGTGCATACAAGGCTTGGGTCATTTCTCCCCCCTGCCCCCACCCCCCCCTTACCACCCAATGATTTTGAAGTATTAATGGCGCCTAAAGAGGATTCCATCATGTAACTAAACAAAAAGGTTATGAGACAGGTAAAAGTTTCAAGCTCAAAACAGGAAAAAATAATCTGTTTTACCTGGGAGAGAAGATGTGACATTAAAGGCACAGTGCTAAGTGGCAGAAATATAATGAATTTAAAAGGACGGTGGTCCAAGGCCAGCCCAGGCAAAAACAAGACCCTATGAAAAACAAACTAAAAAAGGCTAGGCATGTTGCATCACACCTATAATCCCAGCTACCTGAGAGGCAGGAGGATGGTGATTTGAGACCAGCCCAGGGAAAAAGTGAGACCCTATCTTAATAAATAAGCCAGGCATAGTGGTGCATACCTATAATCCCAGGTATGAGGAGGCATAGGTAGGTAGGTAGGAGGATCACAGTCCAGGCAGCCCAGACAAAAACTCAAGACCTTTAAGAAAAATAAAGCAAAAATGGGCTATGTGTATGGCTCAAGTAGTACAGTGTTTGTCTAGCAACCACAAGGCCTTGAGTCAAACCCCAGGTCCATCAAAAAAAAATAATAATTTACAAGTGGGAGTGGTGACTCATGCCTGTCATCTTAGCTACTCAGGAAGCAGAGTTCAGATGGATCACAGTTCAGGGCCAATTTAGACAACATGTTAGCGAGACTGCCATCTCAACCAAAAAAGTGGGCATAGTGAAGCACGCTTGTCATCTCAGCCAGGCAGGTAGTGAAATAGGAGGATCATGATCCACGTCAACTCAGGAAAAACAGAACCAATGAAAAAATAACTAAAGCAAAAACAGTGCCTCAAGTTGTAGCGTGCTTGGCTAGCAAGCATGAGGCCTTGAGTTCAAGCATCAGGACAGCCAAAAAACTGTTTGTATAATGTCTGATAGGCTGTCTTTTTTGAACAATTATTCAAGATAATTAGATTTAGAACATCTACAACATGACTGTGTTTATCATTTGTTACTAGAATTTTACTTGTGGTAAAGAAAGAGCAAAAAGAACATATTTGGAAAGACCAGAGACACAAAGAAACTCCCATCCTCATCAGCATGACCTACACTAAATGGATTACTGAACGTGACCTAACAGGCAATAACTAAATTCCCACTACAAAAGGAATGCATCTATTTCCTTTTATAGTCTTCTCTCTTTAAAGTTAGTATAATTATGGATGACAAAAACATAGCTTGTGTTTTAACTGAAGTTTATTAGGTAACAATAGTATTCAAAACATTATTTTGAAGCATCTGAATCAAGATGGCCAAATGACCACAAAACTTCAAAGTCCCCATTAAAACAACAATGAAAGACTTAGCAAAGGCATAAATGTGCATGGATGAAAAGCATGGGAAGGAGGCATCATCAAACCAGGAATTGAAACCAGCCTTGGGAATTCAGAAAGTAGATTAACTGATGAGGTAGTGCAGAAGAGAAACAGCTGGAGTACAAAGGGAGGAGGCTACAGCCAAGAGGAAAGTTATTCTGTCCTAGAGAACCCCTCAAGACAGGACTATTCACAGTCAGGGACAACAAAAATCAGACTGATAGACACAGTCTTAGAAACAGAATAACTGGAAGTCTGAATATGGAACACCCAGTGACTACCCTCAACCGCTACCTGACCGCCACCCCCCCCCAAGTTTGCAGCACAAAAGCCTAGAGCTTTTTACCCCCAGGCAAAACCTCTCTAAGGAAAGCAGTAACTGCAGGGGAGCTGCAGCTCTCAACCCTTTCTCCCATAAGGGTCAATTTCCCACCTCTTCATCCTAAAGACCAGTGGGTACTTGAGCTTCTGAATGTCTCACTGTCCAATTCTTAAATGCAAACAGATTACTAAGGATCAACAAACATTAGAGGAAGTTAGCAATATGTATGAGAAAGATAGAGAACTTAGAAAAAATTTCTAACTGGTATGAGAGTTTTGAGATCTCGCATTCATAAAGACATTATGAAAAGGAAACAAAAGGTATCTTTTAGAAATTGAAAATGATTGGTAAGATAAAAAAAAATTCAAAGAGAAAGCTAAAAGAAAAATCTGAGGAATTTTTCCAAAAAGTAAAACAAATACAAAGACAAAGATAAATTGGGGTGTGGAGGACGGGGTTGTAGCAGCAACATAAAGAATCAGTTCAGAAGGTCCAACATTCAACTGTGGGAGTTACCAAAACAGGGAGGAAAGTAGAGAAGGAATCATGAGTGAAAAAACATAAAGGAAGACCATGTTCTAAAGCAGAACAATATAAGTTTCTTGACTGACAGGGTCACCAGCTAAAACAACCCACTGGAAAAAGATCACACTATCACAACACTGTAACTACAATGAATAATGTCTACAGAAAGTATGAAAATCACCAAAGGAGTTGGGCTCAAATCAAGTGCAAAGTGGTTGTGAGGTCAGACTCAATGACCATCTAATTTTTAAAGCATGTCTACGTATTATTTTGAATAAAAGTTTCTTAAAACAGATTTTTATAATCACTTTCAGATATCTGGAGTACCTTAAGTAAAAAAGATTAAAAAGAAATTTTATCCAGATCACAATTTTAGAGAAGTACAAGTCGAAAACATACCTAAGACATGGGTAAAAGAAACAATCCAAATTTTGACTTGGCAATCCTGACCAGATGATGCCAATCGAAAAAACTGAAGGCCTCGTTCTCCATCTAAAACAGAAAATGCGTTTATAAAAATAAATACAAAGGATTTATTTAAACCAAAAAAATTCAATGTATTATTCTAAAATCTAGTTTATGCTGTTCATTTAAACTAGATTAACAAATAGTATTTGTTAACTTACACTGTCTAACAAAATTTGGGTTAAAGAATTTCTTTTATACAAGGTACTATATAGGATTGTAAATTAGACCTGAAACTGCTATAATAAAAGGCCTTTAACTCAAGGTGTTAACAACCAAGATTGAGCCACTAAAATGGGTATCTTCCAAATGAATTTTAGAGGTTATGAGGTGATCACTGATGGGAAAAACTTGGAAGAAGAGTTAATTATGGTAAGAATGTTAAATAATTAATCATTTCCAAACTATTTTCTAATACATCAAATTCTTAAAAGCCTGCTTTATAATTCACACAGAATACTACAGTGGGAATATGTTTTCCATTTGATTCAATCAAGGGAAAGTTTAGAATTATATAAAAAAAAGTAAATCAATTCAGCTCATTTGGTGAAAAGTATTACACAATTTAGGGAAAGTAATCGAACAATTTAGGGAAAGGTATCTCAAAAAGCTACTAGTTTTTTTTTTTTTTTAAGAGAATTCCAGTATATTATATATGTACTAGACTACATCCTAAACATCTGTAGGTAACAAATATTGACATCAACTCAATATTACACAAATTCCTTCTGATATCACAGTTTCAATAATAGTAGTTTTTGGCACTTTTATGAAGTAAAGCCTTATTAAGAAGCCAAAACATCCATCTTAAGATTGCACTGTGGTTTTTACAAATATCCAGTACATGGTATTTGATTTACATACTTGGGATGTACAGTTTTCCTGCAGACAGTCTTACTGAAAATACATATGTTTCATTAACACACAATAAATTTACCTCCATTTCATTTGAAATCTTTCCACATTTTAACAGCTTTTTGGTTTTTACAGCACAGGCTCTTGATAATTGTAATTCCTGCTAATTTCTAAGTCTTTTGAAAGCAAAATATTCTATTCAATAAATGAGAGTAAAATATTTTAGTGTAATGTTTAGGAAAGCTTTTTTGTTGTTGTTTCTTGACTAAAATGGATTCTTGTAGTTAATTCTGAAGTTACTTTAAGGAGTGAAAATTAAGCTGGGAAAGTGGAAACTTTTATGAAGACTAAAATGTGCCTGCACTCAATATCTAAATATAATATTTAGAAATATATTTTAAGGAAAATATTCCAGTTGTAATAACCCACTTTCCTTACCACTCAAAATTGGAGAGATCATTTATTCTCAGATGCAAGTAGGATTACTTTTCCTTACTTGAGTAAAATGTCACAAGGCAGAAAAGTCACTATGTTGTAAGCATAGACAGACAGTAACACCAAATTCAACCATAGCACGTTCAAATTATATATGTTATCTTTTAGGTAGTTCCTAAAAATTCCCATAAGAATCACTTTTAAAGTATGTTTCAATCTGATTCAGGAACTTTACATAGGAGATTAATATCTATTTCAACTGAAACGCTAAAGAAAGGACACAGATTAAAATGATACTGAGAGAAACATATACTTTGAAATATGCACTAAATGCAGAGCACAAATGTAGGTAGTACTAATTTAGAATCTCCGCCTGACCCCATAAACTGCCAATAGTTTTACTCTAATATTATAGAATACATAATGGTATTTTTATTAAAAACCTATTTTCAGATCATTCAAAGCCAAAAAAGAAAATCTAAATCTTCTCATGTTTATATAATTCATCATGTGACTGAGTGTCTACAAGATGTGAAGATACCACAGAAACAGAAGACATGGTTCTTATCTGTTACAATATAAACAATATATTAAAAGAATAAAATGCTTAATTAGGTAGGGAGTTTAATAAAAGAATGAGTTCAGAGCTGAGCATTAGTGGCTCAGCTCAGCTCACAATCCTAGCTACTTGGGAAGTTTGAGACCAGCCCAGGTAAATAGTTCTTGAGACTTCACTTCAAAATAACCAAAGCAAAATGGACTGAAGGAGTAGCTCAAGCAGTAGAGCATCTGCTTTGCAAGCACAAAGCCCTGAGTTCAAACCCCAGTCCCACCAAAAAAAAATTTTTTTCATCAAATCATTAAAAGGAATGATGTTTATCAGTGCACATTTCAAGACACAGTGTCTTTGTCTGGGTGAAGGGTACAAATATCAAAACCCTTGGAAAAAAATCTCAGAAACATCAAGAAATGACAGAGGGCCAGTAGGGCAAAACAGAACACTACAAGGCCAAGAACGGTTTGCGATTAGTGCAAAATACAACATGCAAGGAGTTTATGGGCTTTGCTTTTTTGCAGTGCTGGAAATAGGTTTTATGCACTCTATCACTGAGCTTTATAACCCCAGCCAAGCTTTGCCTTTTGGATTTGGGATATTATCTTACTGTAACTATACCTTAAGCCATAGATAGGTTTGAAGTAAGGGAATGCAAAAACCATCCTGTCTAAAGTAATATCCAGCCTTACGTGAGTACTGAACCCTTGAAATTCAGATATTCCAAACTGAAATGTGCTGTAATATACACACCAGATTTCAAAGACTTAACACAAATGGGAAAAATACTTTATTAATAATTTCTGACCATCATTCAAATAATAAATTGGATTAAATATATCATTAATTCATCTATTAAAATCTTTAGTTTACCTATTTGGCTCTCATATTGCTATGGACAGCACTAATCTGGCAAAGAGGGGAAAAGAGAATTTCCATTCTAACAGAGAATGAAAACAAAAAAAGGAAACTTTCCAATTCAATGTACCTATTTAAAACCAAGAGTCTATAGTTGGGAGTTTTTGTTTCATTTAAAAACAAAATCAGCCATGTTGTCAAACATTTTTTCAAGTTAGCTTTTAGAAATTAGTGAATGGAAAATTTAGCTTCTGTTCCCAAGTTTTGAACTTTACATTTCTATGAATATTAATATAGTATACTTAAGTATCACAGTAAAAGCAATAGGGTTAATCCTCTAAACTTCTGTATTTGAGGACTTTGAATTTACTATACCAAGTTAAACCATTCCACACAGATACTAAAAAAGGTGGTTTTCTTACATATTTCATGATTCCATTCTGATCTAAAAAGACCAAGAAAAGATAATTCCTAAAAAGAAATAAAGAGAGCTTCTCACTTTACTAATGATGAAATGAAAATGAATGAAAAGATAAAACATCATATACAAGTTACAAACAGAAATGCCTAGTGCTTAAAAGAACTAACCAGAAACTGGCTGTGAAGAAAAATCACAGCAGGTAATTCCAAGATCGTGTGCTTTTTCACTATGCAGACACCTCATTTTATCATCCCATACTGTTAAATCTCCACATGAGGAGCCAGTGACAAAGAGGTTTCCACTGGGAGAAAATGCACAGGCCACCAAGGAGCCGTCCTTCACACTACCACACCTGAAATAAAAACAAATAGGTAGGGGTTGTTCAGAGAGTCCTTCACTTTATATTACAGTCTATCAGGAGCCTATCATGGTAAAAAAAGAGGACAAGAGACTATCACAGAACGAGAATGGCCAACTGATGCCTACAGAAATAAAGTATTACTCAGATGTTATAAATTGAGACATACTCTCTCAAACTAAGGGAGGATTTAAACAGCCTAATATGTTCAAGCCTAAAGTATAGTAATCTGAACCAAGTCACATATGTTCACATTTTTCCACGGGTCAAATCACTACGAACATATTAAAATCTAAGAAATTTAATAGGAAGCAATGACAATCAACAATAACAACTATAGCCATATTTTTAAAAGACAATACAAAACTTTTTTTGTTGAAAAACATGGTATTGTGGTAAAAACACTTTCTATCTCTGTATTAAAACACCCAGATGCAACAGTAATGTCTTTCCTCTATCTTCAAATAGAAATTCTTATGAAAAGAAAATACGGTGAGTAAATTACAATTATCTTGGGAAGAGAGAGAAGCACTGTTCTGATATTATTGTTTTCTCAATTAGAAAAAATAAACTGGTAAGAACCTAATAATTAGTGCAGTATTAATTATATACATTAGGGAAGTTATGCTAGAAGCACAAATCACCACCTGGGAAGTGAAAAAGAAGACGCCTTAGCTGACAGCTGGATTCCATTTTATATAAAATAAAAATTTATTTTTTGTGCTTTGTCATTAAGCTGTGCTTATTAGCACCACTTAAAACACACCACCTTCTTCAATTTTCAGACCTAAACTTAAATGAGCAGTTGTTGACCAGCTGTTATGTGTGCTCTGATGACAGCAGAAGGGAGTTAGGAACATTAGAGTACATTAATTATTAACATTAAAAAGTTTATTGTTGGACTGGTGGAGTGGCTCAAGTGGTAGAGCGCCTGCCTAGCAAGCACTGAGACCCTGAGTTAAAACTCCAATGTTACCAAAGGGGTGAAAAAAAAAATTATGGTTTTTAAATGTACTTAATAATGTTACTAAAATGGTAACTTTTGTGTATATTTTACCACAATAAAAGTAAATAAAAGTTCATGGCTTTATCTTTGTAAGATGTAATATAATATTAGCAGTGTAAATTAACTGATGTGCATTTCTGCCAAGCGTTTCCCAGGTGTGTTTGTTTCCAGAAATAATCAATACATCAATAACCTACCACCACAAAACCAGTCGGAGCTTGGTCATTCACCCAGCAAGAATCCTAGTCAGAGAAGTGGCTGAATCTCTTCAATGGGACTTACCATTTATTATTGACAACACTTGAGCCATGAGTGACAAAAGCAAACCTCAAATTAATGAACGTTTTTCAAAACTCTTATTTCTGTACAACCAAAAGCCTCAAAAATTTAACTCATATTTCAAAAAAATACTGGAAATTTAAAACTCTCTCAAAGCCAAGCAAATCTGCTGCAAGAACCATATTAAACATTTGTGGTTTTTTGACCTTCAGAAAATAGGTCAAATTTTGTTCCTTCAGCTGTCTAAAAAAAGCAACTACTTCCTCAGATTATCAAAGTATTTTTCTTTCTGCTTTCTTCTCTTCATTTTTTTGGGGACACACCTTGTTATCAACATTAAAAACAGAAAGGATTTAAATGCTCATACCTATGTAACTTGTATGATTGTGCATTCCACAAAACAACAGTTCCATCAGCTGCCCCTGATGCCAAACAAGTAGAGTCTGGGGAAAACCGGCAAACCCTCACAGGACTGCCGCTGGGCTGCTCCATCACTGCCAAAGTCTGTCCATTTTGAGTACTCCAAAGGACAGTGGTACCATCCGTTGAACATGATGCCAAAATCTGTCCTGAAGGGGAGAAACAGCAGCAGTGGACAGCATAGGTGTGAAACTTCAATGGAGAGTGTGGTAGTTCAGTAAAGTCATTTAAGGAGTACAGGCGAATTGTTTTGTCCAAGGAACAAGTAGCCAAGAGGGAAGAGGAGAAAGCACAACAGTTGACATCATCACCATGATCAGCTAATGTGTGAATCAGTTTCACCATCTTCTTTACTGTCAAGTAAAATAGCCTGCAATTTTTAAGTAGGTAAAAGTTATATTATCCCAAGAATCAGATAATTCAAATCCATGTAAAAGAGCCAATATCAATCTAAGACTCTGCCAACGAAAGCTCCTACATTAATATTTTTTAAAGGAAAATCCATTACCTGGGATAAGGATAATGTGAGAAACAAAACATTTACAAGACTATCACCTCTGATGATGATCACTAACCACCACTGCCTCATTTCAGATCCGCAAATCTCAACTCAAAAAACTTTTTCACTATTTTAACACACTGTCTCAGCTGCTCCTTCCACAGGGTGCAGTCAAGGCTATTCGCTCTACCTTTAAAACACAGCTATATGACTGGCCTATCAAAAACTAACAAAGTGCTAGGCATGGTAGCTTACACCTGTGATCCTAGCTACTTAGGAGGCTGAGTTCAGGAGACTAGTGGCTCAAGGCCATCCCAGGCAAATAGTTTGGGAGATCCCAATCTTCAAAATAACCAGAGCTAAATGGACTGAAGGTGTGATTCAAGTGGTAGAGTACCTGCTTTGCAAGAGAAAGCCCTGAATTCGGACACTAGTCACACACATACATCCCCAAAAAACTCCACAAATCTAATGAAGGCCCATTCAAAATGTAAGGAGCTGTGTTAAAAGTTATTTTGTCATGGTTTGTCATCTTATCTGATAAATACAATGATATAAAAGATTTGAGATGAGGAACCCAATCTGAATAAGTCAAGGAAACCAAGAGTGGCAAAAAACAAAACATTGGACTTAGCCAAACTATACTCAAAACCAAAATTTCCAAATTCAAAATAATATCCAAAATCCTTGGGCTGGTGGAGTGGCTCAAGTGGTAGAATGCCTGCCTAGCAAAATCCTCCCCATGGCTTATGAAACTTTATCTAATCTGATTCATGTCTGCCTGATTCTCAAATGTCAACTTCTCCCTCTTTTTTCCAGCCTTCCTGGTCAAACTCATTCTGGTCTTCCTTCTTCTGTAAAGCAGCTTTCTTCAGCTGAAATGTTCTTGTCTCTGGTCTTCCATTTCTCATTCATTCTGGATCCATTTCCCATTCAGACCTCAATTTCAATGTCTCTCTTCAAAGATGGTTAACCTAATTAAAGCAGGCTTTTCTTTTTTCCTTCAACTGAGACAAGGTCTATGTAGCCCAGGCTGGCCTTGAACCTTCAATCCTCCTGAATGCAGGTATTATAGGCGTGTGCTGTGAAGTAGCCGCTCTGTAGGCCAGCACATCACTGTATTGCAATTCTCAGTGTAGCAATTAACACCATCTTCGGGTATTTGTTGAATTGTTTCTCTCTCCCCACTAGAAGGTAAATTCCAAAGGAGTAGGTTCTCTATCCACGTTGCACATTTTGGTATTCACAGCCAAGTGAAAGTGTCAGGTTCCTAATGTGCTCAAATAAAATATTTGTTGAATATTTTTTTCCAGATGTAATTTGAGTTTCAGCCTTTAAATCGCATATATAGAATGTAATATGAAATGATTAGAAAATAAGGCTACCAAAACTTAAAATCTAGCAGCGAAAAAATGATGTAGAATGAGGCAGTAATCAATTCTCTAGGGCTAGGTATAACACTGACTTGTAAGATTCATAGTCTCTTGTCCTCATATTGTTTACGGAAATCTCTACCACCACCCCCAAAAAAAAAAAAAGCATGACTTTTCTCATCTTGACCTTATGCCAAGTTTAGCCCCAACTAAAGCATGAAAAAAAAAAAAAAAAGCAGGAAAAGTTTTAGGTAATTAATATCGCCTGTATTATGGCCCGAAAGCAACGGCGCTCAGGTGGTGTTTCTGGAGAGCGTCCAAATCCCAGCTGCACCTGTGCGCACAGGTGATCCTGCAAACTAACTCCAGCGCCCCCCACACACAGCCCGCACTCAGCACCTGGCGGGGCAGCGCGCCCTCCGGGCCCCTCCAGGGTTCAGCTGTCACTCTAACTCCCGGCCACTGCCAACGCACGCCCCCCTGTCCAACCCGAACCAACCCCCCAAATAAAGCCCGCAACATGCCTCCCTCGCGCGAGGGGACCCGGAACCTGCCCACCTGCGAGGACCCGTGGGACCTCTACCGCGACCTCCCACTGCTCGGACGCCCCGAGGCGCTCTCCGCGCGGCGGGCCGGCTTCACTCGGGGCAAGGGGACGTGCTAGGCCACACCACCACGCCCCGGAGCCGCGCGTCCTCGCGCGCTCAGAACCGGTTTCCGGAACGCTGAGGGTTCCGACGTCACGACGAGGTAGCTTCTGCCCCGCGGCCAAGCTGGTCTTGTTGGGCACAACAGTCCTCACCTCCAGCGCCCACGAGCGCGGGAACCGCCCTCAGGTGCCCGGCCTGCGGCGCGGGTCACGTGAAGCGCAGGTGAGGGGCGGGGCCGGCGCGCGGAGAGCCCCGCCCCAATACGGAAGGCCCTTCCCCGGGGGGTGGGGAGGGAGACGGCAGCGCCAGGGCGCATGCGTGCTTGCCTGCTCTGCATTCTCCGTCTGGGTTCAGGATGAGGTCAGACCTGGGAAGGACTTTTTTTTTTTTTTTTTTTCATTTTTCTTTTATTATTCATATGTGCATACAAGGCTTGGTTCATTTCTCCCCCTGCCCCCACCCCTCCCTTACCACCCACTCCCCCCCTCCCGCTCCCCCCTCAATACCCAGCAGAAACTATTTTGCCCTTATCTCTAATTTTGTTGTAGAGAGAGTATAAGCAATAATAGGAAGGAACAAGTGTTTTTGCTGGTTGAGATAAGGATAGCTATACAGGGCATTGACTCACATTGATTTCCTGTGTGTGGGTGTTACCTTCTAGGTTAATTCTTTTTGATCTAACCTTTTCTCTAGTTCCTGGTCCCCTTTTCCTATTGGCCTCATTTGCTTTAAGGTATCTGCTTTAGTTTCTCTGCGTTAAGGGCAACAAATGCTAGCTAGTTTTTTAGGTGTCTTACCTATCCTCACCCCTCCCTTGTGTGTTCTCGCTTTTATCATGTGCTCATAGTCCAATCCCCTTGTTGTGTTTGCCCTTGATCTAATGTCCACATATGAGGGAGAACATACGATTTTTGGTCTTTTGAGCCAGGCTAATCTCACTCAGAATGATGTTCTCCAATTCCATCCATTTACCAGCGAATGATAACATTTCGTTCTTCTTCATGGCTGCATAAAATTCCATTGTGTATAGATACCACATTTTCTTAATCCATTCGTCAGTGCTGGGACATCTTGGCTGTTTCCATAACTTGGCTATTGTGAATAGTGCCGCAATAAACATGGATGTGCAGGTGCCTCTGGAGTAACAGTCTTTTGGGTATATCCCCAAGAGTGGTATTGCTGGATCAAATGGTAGATCGATGTCCAGCTTTTTAAGTCTGGGAAGGACTTTAAACTGCGGGTTTTTCTCTGTTGAAGAAGCTGAGCTCCCAGGTCTAGTGAATACCTGAAATGTGCTTGTAAGCTTACAGTTTTAAAATCTCCCTCTGCCCTACTGTATTTCTCCAATCTGCACTGCCTTGATTCCCCTGAAACTGATCTTTTTGATCAGCCTTTTCTGTGTAGGCTAGCCCTCCGCATTCCCAACGTGGTGTCCCCTGTCATCACCTCCAGTGCTTGAGTTTCTCAGAGCTGTCTTCCCAAGCAGGCTGCTTGACCCCAGGTCCTGTGCCCTGGGAGCCTCTGCCCTCCAGACAGGTCCAGGTGGTCTTCTTGTATGGCCTGAACTCCAGCCTTTCTGAGTGTGTCTGGTTGAGTCACAGGTGGACAGTGGCTTGCATGTGTAATTGACTACACAATTGCCCTGCTGGTAGATGTGTACCGTTTGAGATAAAAGTTATCCAGAAAGAAATTCCTATTCATGGATGCAATGGCTTATTAACTAAATGAAATACATAGTGCAGGACTATGTTCAGATGAAAATCAAAGATTCAGATAGCTTTTATTTTTAATCCCTCAAGTTTAGAGCTTTCTTTAATGAGGAAACATTAATAACCTATCAACCCCAGGAAACCAGAGTCATATATTTGAAGAGTAGTAACCTAAAAATGCTGACATTTAGAGATGAAATTGAGATCGTTGGAAATTATTTGTAATCAAAGACTGAAGGGAAAAGGAAGATTAAAATTCCTGATTTTTAGATACAGGAAAATTAATGGAAGCAAAAGCAGATTCTTTGGAAAAAAACTACTAAAATGGTGGTACTTCTAGTCTTCTTTTAAAAATTCATGGTCTTGTGATTTTAAATTATCAGTGTGCATCATGATTGAGACTTTGAATACCTAATTAAACTCCAAAGTACTGCCAAAACAGTATTTTTCAAAAATAAATCTGTGATTATATAAATAATGGAGTTCCCTGTAGAAAATATAAGAAATAAATAGCTAGTAATTGCATTACTCAAAGATAACCCACTACAGTAGTAGCTCCTCTGTTAACTCAAAGATAGTTCCTCTCTCTTTCACTCATGTAAATGTCAAAAATTTAACAGAAAGTCCTGCAAACCACCATTTTAAACTTGTATCCTGAGCATTTTCCATGTCTAACGTTCCTTCATTAGTTTTATTTATTTGCTTTTTGCAAATAAATTATTTTGCTTTTTTTTTTTTGGTCTAAATGGAAACATAATTTATGTAACATTTTCCCTGTTGCTGGGTGGTGGTTTCAACATTTTTTCTCTTAGTATAAATGATGCTGGGTTAAGCATCTTTGTATATAAATCTTTATCTACAATTTTGAACATGTACTTAGGATGTGGTTTAATTGGGGTGGAATTACTGGCAACAATTGTAAAGGTTCTTCATAAGTACAGTACTTGTCACCTGTTGGTGTCCAGAGAGGCGTGGTGGAATCTCAGCAACATGTGGTGCTGCCTGTCTCTCCACATTCTTCTCACACATGAGGAATACCTTGTTTACCTTCATTTAGTTCACAAGCAAAATTAGTTACAATATTCTTTAAGTGAAATATGTAAAAGAAGCCCCAACCTACATGTGCCAGTAGTTCAGCTCAATCACCTCAAGGCCGCTCTGGTCAGTTTCGCCTGTCCTGTAGGCATGGGAAGTTTCAGAGAGGGGTTCTACTCAAGACAGCTGGTTTCTATTCTGCAGGTTTGCAATTAGAGAAATGTTCTAAAATATTTTGCCAATAGAGACTTATAATAATTTGTAGAGTTCTTTAATCAGATTAATGAACTGATTATCATATCTCAGGACACAGAGTACCAAAATAGTTGATACTATTCACTTGGACTATTAAAGATTTGGATATTTTATGCATTCCTGGATTTAATTGTGTAGTTCTGCAATAATAAAATTTTAAATGATACACTTAAAGGAAAAGTAACTTTTCAATTAAACAGTAAGCAACACAGGCTCTTGTAATGCAATTGCAATGGGAAAAGAACAGGTGTGACGCAATTAGGGAGACACTGAGTAAAGTACGTGGTCCAGTGCACACTGAGTAAGAGCTCAGAGGAGAAGGAGAAATGTAAGGCACAGGGAAATTGGAAAAGGTGGTCAGAGGAATGGGCCTAACTAAGCTTATAGCCTGGGGCAGCTGAGGCATGAGCTTGGACAATAAATGC